TTATGTGTGTGTTTGGGGAGAGGGGGGAGGTTCAAAATCTGGTCTATGTTCCCTGTGGTCTATACGCTCTATGTTCCCTATGGTCTGTTTGGTCTAAATGGTCTCTGTTCCTTGGGTCTCTGTTCCCTATGGTCTATGTTCCCTATGGTCTATGTTCCCTATGATCTATGTTCCCTATGATCTATAGGGTCCATGTTCCCTATGGTCTATGTTCCCTATGGTCTATGTTCCCTATGATCTATAGGGTCCATGTTTCCTATGGTCTCTGTTCCCTATTGTCTCTGTTCCCTATGGTCTATGTTCCCTATGATCTATAGGGTCCATGTTCCCTATAGTCTCTGTACCCTATGGTCTATAATAATTTATATGTATAGCGACAAAGTCCAGGAAATGATGTTGTCACAATGAATTCATAAAGTTAAGACTTAAATCGAACCCAATGATCAGACATGGGCAATCATCAAGACAGAATGTAAGACTAGGGTTTCTTTGGTAGAGGGTTTATGGCTGTGTATGGTTTGTTTTATAGTGGGTTTATGGCTGCGGTAGGGTTTCTTTGATAGAGGGTTTATGGCTGTGTATGGTTTGTTTTATAGTGGGTTTATGGCTGCGGTAGGGTTTCTTTGATAAAGGGTTTATGGCTGTGTATGGTTTGTTTTATAGTGGGTTTATGGCTGCGGTAGGGTTTCTTTGATAGAGGGTTTATGGCTGTGTATGGTTTGTTTTATAGTGGGTTTATGGCTGCGGTAGGGTTTCTTTGATAGAGGGTTTATGGCTGTGTATGGTTTGTTTTATAGTGGGTTTATGGCTGCGGTAGGGTTTCTTTGATACAGGGTTTATGGCTGCGGTAGGGTTTGTTTGATACAGGGTTTATGGCTGCGGTAGGGTTTGTTTGATAGAGGGTTTTATGGCTGTGTATGGTTTGTTTTATAGTGGGTTTATGGTTGTGGTAGGGTTTCTTTGGTAGAGGGTTTTATGGCTGTGTATGGTTTGTTTTATAGTGGGTTTATGGTTGTGGTAGGGTTTCTTTGATAGAGGGTTTATGGTTGTGGTAGGGTTTGAAAAAGTTCAATCGTCAACACCAGCTAATGGGCAATCTAGATGGTGACAGAAGCTACACTGTATTGTAATGGGGGGGGGGGGTTGATTACTCACATACACCTTAATACAATATGATCTCCCACTACTACTTTCATTGATGCCCCCCCCCCCACACACACACCCTTCACACCTACACCCACTACCCTGCTCTAGTTCACTTATCTGCCCCCTCCCCCACCCTTCACACCTACATCCACTACCCTGCTCTAGTTCACTTATCTGCCCCCCCACCCCCACCCTTCACACCTACATCCACTACCCTGCTCTAGTTCACTTATCTGCCCCCTCCCCCACCCCCACCCTTCACACCTACACCCACTACCCTGCTCTAGTTCACTTATCTGCCCCCTCCCCCGCTGAGGTTAACCAAGTAGCCAGACTTATCATTGCTCTATCAGTTTCAAAACTTCTATAGCCTCTCACCGACTACCAAAAATTACACCTTATCGCAGAAAGGGGAGACAAACTCTCTCCACCTAACCAAGTGGCAGATTACGAGAGGTACAAGTAGGTTTCCTGCAGAGTTGCGGGCCGTTAGATTGGTCTTGTCAACAGGAGTAGCGTCCCTTGGTTCGCTGTCATTCATATCCAGGGGAGATTATCTATTACATTCAACTGGAATACATAGCAGTGTTGAATGATGCAATTAGCACTGTGTTTATTCAAAACATGCATAGGCCCTATTGTGGGTTATTTTTTTCTTTAAAGTAAAGAAACAAAATGCATTTAGTTGATTAGCTAATTTTTATTTTTCCGAGTAATATACTAGTTATTTTAATGATATCGTATTAACATATTAAGAGAAATAAATTGAATATTAACTAATTGTGCAGCGTTCAGTACACTCGAATAATTTTCAGTAATTCGTTCAAAGCTGGGGCGTGGGCCACTCTACACGTTCGCCATCCTTGTCATTTGAAAAAAACAAAATCTAACTCCCTGGTCAGACCTTCCCCTCCCCCTCCCCTCCCACCCGGAACTTCCTCTAGGCATCTAAAGCCCCCCCCCCCCCCCCTCCGAACGAAATAAAATTTATATAGAAAATATATACTTTTACCGGTGTCCCTCCCCCCTACCGAAAATTTTAGTCCGCACCCCTGAAAATTTCAAGTGCCCCCCTCCACCCCCCGGAGAAAAAAGTCTGGAAGAAACACTGCCCCTACCCCTCCACACCCCGCCCCCAAATCCCACCTTAGCTACGGCAAACAACAACACAGCCTGTATAACTTGTGATACCGCCACAAGTGACCTTTGACCCTGACCTCTGGAATCGTACGAATTCCCCGTCTATAGACCTAATTAATGTGTCAGTTGTAATTGAAGGTGCGTATTCTTACCTGTGGCATTGTTGGGATATACAGTCCATAATTATTGATCGATGTTGTGTCGTCTGCGCATTGTTTACACGTGTTCGTAACCTACTTATGGTTAACACGTGTAATTTACACGGAGTGTTATATTGTTTACATGTGTGTAGACGGTGAACACATGCGTACAATGTGTGAACGATAGTGTCAATTGAATGTTTGGATATTGTGAGTATATAGGAATAAATAAACATGGCCGAGTTGACGAACATTCTTCCATTATTATTGTTCACATTTATTTTTATTTTATTTTAAAAAACGTATTTTTCCTAGATTTTGCAATCAAAGTGACCGTAAAAATAATTATAAAAAAAAACAAACTTAAGCTTGAAAATAATTTAGAAATTTATTATTTTTAGAATCAATGTTATAGAAGTTGCAAATTCAAAGAACTTGAAAATAATTTTTTGAGTTTTAGGCTACACTTTTATCTATTTTCATCAGGCCTAATTTATAACCTAAAGTTTCACATTCGTAAGACAAACATTGATTGGCTGTACAGGAACTCTGGGATTGATATTCTGAAAGGCTTTGTTTATTCTAACCCGGGTCCTTATAGCCGCTTTTGCTATTCGGAACCCGGCATTAACTCTGTTAAGATTTAGCTTTCTCGAATATACTTATAAAACGGAAGATGACAACTCGGTGTATAGACATGATTTTTAATCAATTTTTAATTACTTAAACTTTTTAAAATAGACTAAAATCTCATATCAAAAGTGAACATCAAACAATGTGTGTAATTGTGCGAAATATTAATACTTTATAAATTCATATGTTTTCTTTAGACATCGGAAATAGAGTAAAGTGCTTCTTCCGGTAAACGGACTTACTTAAAATTTGACAGAAGGCAGAGAATTAGATCATTTACTTATTTGTGAAATTTCGTTTATGTATCTAAAACTGTACTCAAGTTATAGGCTTTTCTAAAACTAAAAGTAGAATGGGTCATACTTCCGTTTATCCAAAATCGCTGAAAAGTTGATACAGAACTACAAATTTGATATAATACTTATATATGAATTTGATCAACCTAGCTGTAACGGTATTCAAGTTATCATGTTCACACACACGCACACACACACACATACACACAGACACATACACAGAAACACACACACACACACACAAATAAGGACACAATTGCAAAACTAATTTTTCCGATTTGATTTTTTGCACGATTACAATACCCCCTCTATACTGCGTAAACGAGAAAGTAAAAATTATATCTGCCTCCAAAATTAATGGCAAATAATTACATTTGTTTTACCTCCTCAGATTTACCTATCAGCGGACCAGCCATGAGATTGAAATAATTAATTCTCTCCTCTAACGAAGGCCAGCGATCGGCCTGATCTAAACCACTGCTGTGTTTGTTAGGGTTCGAACCCATGTTGAACTCGAATGCAGAAGGTCACAGATATAACAGTAGATCAGCCACGACCCAAGTATAAATGTATACAAAGACGCCGGCGCAATGAAATCACAAATCAACGCCGTAGACAACCCAAAAGGTCCGAGTTCAACGCCAGCCAAGGCCAAGAAACTGACCAAGCCAAACTCGGCCACCAAGGGGAAAGCCAAGCGCCCTGCCAGTACTAAGGAGGATTCGAACCTCAGCAACAGTAAGTCCACCGCCTCGACTGTTGATGGGAACGAGGCTGGATTTAAACATGAAAATGGCGGGGGTGAGGAGGCCTGGGAGGACACCGGAAGTAGTGGGGCGGACCACGAGGTTCAGGACAAGGAGAAGCTGGTCAAGGTCCTGTCGGGGAGCTTGGAGGACCTCCCGCCGCTCAGCTCAAAGATCGTCAGGATCTTTACAAGCTCTACCTTCACAGGTCAGTGTAGCAATCTATGACATAGGTCAGTGTGGCAATTTATGACATATGTCATATAGCAATCTCTGACATAGGTCATACAGCAATCTATGACATAGGTTATTGTAGCAATCTATGACATAGGTCAGTGTTGCAATCTATGACATAGGTCAGTGTTGCAATCTATGACATAAGTCTTACAGCAAAATATGACATGTCTTACAGCAATCTATGACATAGGTCATACAGCAATCTATGACATAGGTCAGTGTTGCAATCTATGACATAAGTCTTAAAGCAAAATATGACATGTCTTACAGCAATCTATGACATAGGTCATACAGCAACATATGACATAGGTCAGTGTTGCAATCTATGACATAAGTCTTAAAGCAAAATATGACATGTCTTACAGCAATCTATGACATAGGTCATACAGCAATCTATGACATAGGTCAATGTAGCAATCTATGACGTAGGTCATTGTAGCAATCTATGACATAGGTCAGTGTGGCAATTTATGACGTAGGTCATACAGCAATCAATGACAGGTTAATACAGGAATCTATGACATGGGTCAGTGTAGCAATCTATGACGTAGGTCATTGTAGCAATCTATGACATAGGTCAGTGTGGCAATTTATGACGTAGGTCATACAGCAATCAATGACAGGTTAATACAGGAATCTATGACATAGGTCAATGTAGCAATCTATGACATAGGTCAGTGTAGCAATCTATGACGTAGGTCATTGTAGCAATCTATGACATAGGTCAGTGTGGCAATTTATGATGTAGGTCATACAGCAATCTATGACAGGTTAATACAGGAATCTATGACATAGGTCAATGTAGCAATCTATGACAGGTTAATACAGCAATCTATGACATAGGTCATACAGCAATCTATAAAATTGATCATACTGCAATCTATGACAGGTTAATACAGGAATCTATGACATAGGTCAGTGTAGCAATCTATGACATAGGTCATACAGCAATCTATGACATAGGTCATACAGCAATCTATGACATAGGTCATACAGCAATCTATGACATAGGTCATACAGCAGTCTATGACATAGGTCATACAGCAATATATGATATAGGTCATACAGCAGTCTATGACTAATTTATGACACAGGTCAGTACAAAATCTATGACACAAACTAGACCACAGGGTGACTACAACATTACTGACACATATCAATCCTGCCTCTCTCTTGTGGTTTACATTGAACAACAGTTCATTGCTGTTGTATCATATGTGTGTGAGAGCTTCACCGTGTACACAGCTAGTCAGTTCTGTTCATACTTGTACATGTACACCTCGCTAAAGACAAAACTACAGGCTAAACTACAGGCAAAACTACTTTCCTTTACTTCTCTGTAACATAAAAAATACATTTGGAATGTCCAATGGGTTTTTTTTAATGAAACAGTTTACAAATAAATTAAGTAAGGGAGTTTAAAAAAGGACTAAACAAATTTAAATTTTTAGCGTACGTAAATTTCGATTTTTCTGTTTCAGTTATTTTTTAAAATATCCAGTTGCTTGTAGAAATAGTGAATTGGTCAGTTAATTGTAGAAATAGTGAATTGGTCAGTTAATTGTAGAAATAGTGAATTGGTCAGTTAATTTGTAGAAATAGTGAATGGGTCAGTTAATTTGTAGAAATAGTGAATTGGTCAGTTAATTGTAGAAATAGTGAATTAGTCAGTTAATTTGTAGAAATAGTCTTCTTCTTCGTTCTTAATTGAGAATATGGTGGAGGATTCAGACAACAAGTCCAACTTCGTGAACAAACCGGACTGTGGTCTCCAGTTTGGCAGGTGCCCCATATAATTTTTCCCTGAGTGGGGTGGGTAGGGGCCAGTGTCTGACTCGTGCCTGGCTATACAAAGAACATTCCTGAAGGACGTGCTCCGTATTTTCCGGGGCCTTGCCACAAGGGCACATTTCGCCACACCCAACCTTTAGTTTTTTATGCATGTGTTGATTTAGTCTGTTATGGCCTGTTCTAAGTCGAAAGATTATGTATTGTTGTTTTCGTGGTAGAAATAGTGAATTGGTCAGTTAATTTGTAGAAATAGTGAATTGATCAGATTTTTTTTTTTTTAAATTGTTACTTGCGTATGTTTAAACCAATAAATAATTAAAGTTATATGCGCCTATTGTGGAATTTACCCACTAATTCCTTAATAACTAATTTGTTTCGAAAGAAGAAACAGGATCAAGACACAAGATTGAAACTGATCTTCATAATTAATCAACGTCTTAGTAATATAATTATTACCAATTAATCGGGATCTCAAGTTTCAAGAAACCGATCTTAAATTCGCGGATCACAAAGGCGACCTGAAAAAAAAACCAATGCCGCAATAGGGCTTGTAAGTAGGTCACCAACTTCTTATCATACTAGCCAGCTAGTACTTTTCAAACCAAGTGTGAATATGTTTATTAAATCAGTAAAAAAAGAAATAAAAGTTACTTACACTATTGTTAAGTTAATTAAAATCGTAAAAACTGATAATGATGATAGTTTGAGAATTCACCTGACCCTGGCTAACCAGATTTCAAATTTTAAGTAAGAGAAACAAAGAGACTTACAAGCCCAATTGTTTCGTCTCCTGTCGTGGATGTTGTAGCACTGTATGCGTTAGCCGGCGTTGTTTCTCATTGTCTTCATACAACAAATAAAAATAATGTAACACTATGTTGTAATACAGCTTTAGCTTGCTTACAAATAATGTAACTATTACTAGTATTATTTTTAGGGTTTATCCAATGTATTTATTGTTTCGTTTTTGTACAGCCTTTAATCATAAAACTCAACATTGAATCAAACATTTTAAGTCTTACAGCGTGACGTAAAGTTTTAGTGACGTCGCCCGTTAGAGCATATAGTATGTCATGTTACATTAGCCATATTGTCACACCCTACACACGTCATGTGACACCATATATGTTGTCATGTCTCACTTGAACATACAACTCGACATACGACAATACATATACTCTCAAATCCCATTGAGCTTACAAAATGACACAATTGACATTTGACATAATCGACATACGACACAAGACCTATTCTCACATCACATAGAGCGTACAGAATGACACAAATGACATTTGACATCAGCCATGTCTACCTCCCTTGTTGCATTTCCTGTCTCCAGTAAATGGCCCGATGGCCCGCATAGATCTCATCTCCCCGTCCCCTCAGCCCCACCCCCCAGCCCATCCAGAACCAAATCCTCAGCCACTCGTTAATTACTTTACTTGTCGCCTCAATGCCGGGGGGTGGGGGAGGCAGGTAAATGACGTCAAGTGGCCTTTGTCCCTAGCACAGATTCAATAACGTTTAATGATCCAGTCTATAAATCGAAGATCGAATTTTTTTTTTATCAGCGCGGGGTAAATGGGGCGGAACAAAATTTGAAAAATGTGTTGGGCTAGAGCTATAGGAAACACATCGTGATGTTTTATAGCGGGACTTAGTAGTGATGTTTTATAGCGGGACTTAGTAGTGATGTTTTATAGTGGGACTTAGTAGTGATGTTATATAGTGGGACTTAGTAGTGATGTTTTATAGCGGGACTTAGTAGTGATGTTTTATAGTGGGACTTAGTAGTGATGTTTTATAGCGGGACTTAGTAGTGATGTTTTATAGTGGGACACTGGACTTAGTAGTGATGTTTTATAGCATGACTTAGTAGTGATGTTTTATAGCAGGATTTAGTAGTGATGTTTTATAGCGGGATTTAGTAGTGATGTTTTATAGCGGGACTTAGTAGTGATGTTTTATAGTGGGACTTAGTAGTGATGTTTTATAGCGGGACTTAGTAGTGATGTTTTATAGCGGGACACTGGACTTAGTAGTGATGTTTTATAGCATGAGTTAGTAGTGATGTTTTATAGCGGGATTTAGTAGTGATGTTTTATAGCGGGATTTAGTAGTGATGTTTTATAGCGGGACTTAGTAGTGATGTTTTATAGCGGGATTTAGTAGTGATGTTTTATAGTGGGATTTAGTAGTGATGTTTTATAGCGGGATTTAGTAGTGATGTTTTATAGTGGGACTTTGTAGTTATGTTTTATAGCAGGACACAGGGCTAAGTCGTGATGTTTTATAGCGGGACACTGGGCTAAGTCGTGATGTTTTATAGTGGGACTTAGTATTGATGTTTTATAGCGGGACTTAGTAGTGATGTTTTATAGTGGGACACTGGGCTAAGTCGTGATGTTTTATAGCGGGACACTGGGCTAAGTCGTGATGTTTTATAGTGGGACTTAGTAGTGATGTTTTATAGCGGGACTTTGTAGTGATGTTTTATAGTGGGACACTGCATATTTGAATAAAACCGGCTTCCACATCACCCCACATTTGAATGGAATCTATTATCTCGTCTTCCGACGTTCTTGTACACCGTCATGGCGGCTGATGCTAGTTGAACGTAACATGGACTGGGCTGGGTTTGTTCCCGGTCACCATGACGACCGCCATTCAAATTACCGCTCGACAACACAGCTTGCTTTAGCCTAGACGTTTAAAATTCTGGACCCTCTAGAACAAAACAGCGGTTTATCACAAGTATGTGACGGCGTTTAAACAATCGATATCTGATAGATTGCATTGAGAAGATTTTTTTTTAAATTACTTTTGATTAAATGGTGTAGCGAGACGTAATTGTTGTACAACAATTTTACCATTTGTCGGTTAAGTTGTCTTTTCAATTTGCAATTAACGGGAATTCCCAATTTATATTTTTAACTGCATTAATTGCTACATTGAAAATGAGACGAAATATCGAGAATAAAAAATGAATGGAAGTTTATAAAATAAAATAGACTTTAAATCAGTACCAAGCATATCGAATTATTAGATGTTTGAACACATTGGTTTGGTGTTTAGAGACATCAAGATTAGGCGACACTGGAGTAGAAGTATTGAACGGGTTTTTTGGGATCTTGTTCCAAGTGTTGATGCAACTCTTTGATAGGCGAAGCGAGTGGGATTGTTGTGTTTGATCAATGGTCTTTTGGTCAATACTTGGTCAATTTAAACTATTTTTAAGTACATATTTGTCCACTCCCGGTAAAGGAATGTAAACTAAATGGATCTCCACTCCGTCAGTAGTTAGGTAGTTACTGTTGTGTGCATTTGTCAACAGGGACATTTCTTTATGGTACCTTTTACCTCTCTTTATATATATATATATATATATATATATATATATATATATATATATATATATATATATATATATATATATATATATATATATATATATATATATATATAGTCCTATCTAAATATACACGTCGATTTTTTGCACGATTACAATACTTCCTCTATACTTCGAATACGAGAACGTAAAAACATCCTTACATACTGATCTATGTAATCTGGGAAGAGATTTAGCATTTAATGTTGAAACTATCATACCACGAGAACGCAAGACATTGACAATCATTGCCCATGAAAGATTTTTTTTTTAAATAGAAAAATTGAAATAATAATTTGACAAAAAATATTAGATTGTATGAATACTTTTTCTGTTAGTTTTCTTTTTTTTTTATAGTAAAATATATGTAGGGACTATTTTTTCCAGACACAACACTTGAGCGTAATAATCTGATGGAGAAAGTCTACCCCAGGCTGAAGGACTACTGCAGGGAAAAACATGGACTCGAGTTTCAGGTGGGTCCAATTACATCATGTGGGGTAGGGGGGGGGGGGGGGTTGGTCACTGTCAAAAGTGGGTGGCTGTACATCAGGGGGTCAGTGTAATAAGTGGGTGGCTGCACATCAGGGGTCTGGCATAAGTGGGTCACAATACATGATAATGGGGGGGGGGAGGTAACTGAGTCATAAATGAAGAGAGGGTAATGAAGAGAGGATGTGTCAATCGTATATCATCATCATCATCATCACCACCGCCACCACCACCACCACCACCACCACCACCACCATCATCATCACCACCATCACACACTAACACCACCACCCACCACCATCATCTTTTCCCTTCTGTGCCCAGGACACATAGGACCGCCACAGAAAGCTCTTTCCACTTTTGCCGGTCTCTGAACTTACTCGGCAGTTTCCAAGGATAGTCCTGCCTTTGTCTGTTGTTTTCTGTCGCGTACCTCTAAGTCTCTCTTGGTCTTCCGTGTTTTTTTCTTGAGGCATCCAGTTCAGCGGTATTCCTTCAATTTAATCTTGTCTCATCCTCAATACACGACGCATCTTGCGCTGTCTTATGTTTTTGATTACCTGTTAAACGACTTTAATCTCATATAGCGGGTCTACATATTCAAAGTAAGAGTTGAGTCAATGATATACTGAGGCTCAACAATGGCTGCTTTTGTTCAAACATATAGCAGTTATATTACGTGAGGGGTGGGATGGTGCTGTTATAAGGCGTGTCTCAGTACTTGTTGGGGCAGTTCATAAAATGTCTTTCAACATCAACTTCTTTAACTTAAGGAAAATCTATTTTTTTTTAAAATAATGTTCGCTTCTGAAGTTTTGTGAGCAGGCTTTTATTTTTTTTAAATTACGGATAATTTAAAGTTTATATTCAGCCAAGCAAAACTTTTTTTATTCAATTCATTCGAAATTCTGTTTCAGGATTTCGTAAAAAATATCAATAAAATAAAACAATGCATCGTCTCGTGTTTGCGTTGGCTCCGCCTTGTGTTTAATCCTCCATTGACTATCTGGTATTGGCCAGAGTTTTTTAACTATCGACCAGTGATTGGCAATTTGTTGGCAACTTCCGCCTATTATCTACGAGCCCTTACTGCCATAAATTGTGCACCAACGTCCAACTTTATCAGCTATCTCGTGTCCTAACTCACTCGCTCTCATGTAAAAAAATCCCTAATCCTAACCTCATATGCATATTCTACATCTCGTTGCTAATAAAAATATTGTAAGCTCAAGCTGCAGAGCTTGGAGCGATATTGAACTCCATCTTTTGTATCCCGCGTTACACGAACCACTTTCCTCCTCATGTTTAAGCCTCCAATTTATATTTTGTTTTGAAGCCGTAATATCCACCCACTAGAACTAGTCATTTCGTGAGTTGCTATTGTCGTTCTTTGGTGCTGAATAGCGGCAAATATTGCAACACATGACGTCATCAGGAAGCAGCTTCCGGTCACGTGATCCAGTTTTACATTACTCTTCCTAATAAATTATCTTCCAATTTCTCCCTTCTCTCCCCCTCCCTCCAGCCTGTTGGTAGCTAACGAGAAGTTAACGTTTTTTTTTATCGATTGCTGCAGCTAGCCGTAATATCTAAACGTGCATTGTAACAGCACCATATATCACACCATCCTACCACACCATCCGACCACACCATCCTACCACACCATCCTACAACACCATCCTACCACACCATCCTACCACACCATCTAACCACACCATCTTACAACACCATCCTACCACACCATCCTACCACACCATTCTACCACACCATCCTACAACACCATCCTACCACACCATCCTACCACACCATCCTACCACACCATCCTACCACACCATCCTACCACACCATCCTACCACACCATCCTACCACACCATCCTACCACACCATCCTACCACACCATCCTACCACACCATCCTACCACACCATCCTACCACACCATCCTACCACATTATCTAACCACACCATCCTACCACACCATCCTACCTCACCATTCTACCACACCATCCTACCTCACCATTCTACCACACCATCCTACCACACCATCCTACCTCACCATTCTACCACACCATCCTACCACACCATCCTACCACACCATTCTACCACACCATCCTACCACACCATCCTACCTCACCATTCTACCACACCATCCTACAACACCATCCTACCACACCATCCTACCACACCATCCTACCACCCATCCTATCACACCATCCTACCACACCATCCTACCACACCATCCTACCACACCATCCTTTAACACCATCCTATAACACCATCGTACCACACCATCCTATAACACCATCGTACCACACCATCCTTTAACACCATCCTATAACACCATCGTACCACACCATCCTATAACACCATCGTACCACACCATCGTACCACACCATCCTATAACACAATCGTACCACACCATCCTACCACACCATCCTACCACACCATCCTACCACACCATCGTTCCATATCAATGCACCACACCATCTTGCCACACAATATAACCACATCATTTTACCACACCACCTAACCACACAACATAACCATATCATTGAAAAGCACTATCCAACTACACCATCGGATCCAGTATAACCATATAACTTACTTACAGTACCTAACCACACCATCAACCCCATCTACCCACATCAACACATCACACCATCTAACCACACTATCTACCAACACAATCCACCCATGCAATCTACCCACACCATCTACCCACACCATCTACCCACACCATCTAACCCCACCATCATACCACATATAATCCCCACCAGCACAAACCACGTCACATACTCGTGTTTACAAAAAAAATCGTGTTAGAGATTTCGTCCCATTTCCCCTCGACATCTCGCTCGAGATTTACTGCTCACCCAGCCCGCCACGAGCGATAAGGAGGGGGACAGATGTCTCATGGCTTGCTACAAGGGCCCTGATTGGCTGAATTCTGGCAATCAAACTGCTAATCGATCCCAACCAATAAATAGATCACTTACGATGTCGGTATCGTAGAATAGGAGAATCGATTTCATTTCGGAAAATATTTCAATGGTAGGGGATTGGTTAGGTTAGGAAATTAATGCACAGATTAGATTAGGGGAAGTAATTAATACAACCATCTGATTGATTATTAGCAGCAACGGCATGTGGTCAGGGGCAAGCGGACCACGGCGGTCTTTGTGTGGTCCGTAAATATTTTGTTTTGGTGGGTCGTTTAGTGTGGTCCATGTGGGCTTAAAATGTGGCCCATGACAATTTAAAATGTGGCCCATGACAACTTAAAATGTGGCCCATGTTGGCTAAAATGTGGCCCATGTTGGCTTAAAATGTGGCCCATGACAATTTAAAATGTGGCCCATGACAACTTAAAATGTGGCCCATGTTGGCTAAAATGTGGCCCATGACAACTTAAAATGTGGCCCATGTTGGCTAAAATGTGGCCCATGTTGGCTTAAAATGTGGCCCATGACAATTTAAAATGTGGCCCATGACGACTTAAAATGTGGCCCATGACAACTTAAAATGTGGCCCATGACAATTTAAAATGTGGCCCATGTGGGCTTAAAATGTGGCCCATGTTGGCTAAAATGTGGCCCATGACAATTTAAAATGTGGCCCATGACAACTTAAAATGTGGCCCATGTTGGCTTAAAATATGGCCCTTAAAAACGTGCATGTGAAATATTGCTCATGCTGACTTATTCAATGGCTCATAGATGGCCTCAACTGGAAACAAACGCCTTTGATTTTCTTTACAACAAAATAATATGAAAATAAATAGTTTTATAATAGCTTACCAAAGTATTAATTGTTATTATTTCTCTTTTCTCTCACTTCTCTCTCTCTCTCCCTCTCTTTCTCTCAGTCTCTTTTGATAGTCTTAGTTTTTTACCTGATCAAGTATGTCATTGATTTTACCTGTGCCTGTGATGTAACTATCCAAATAATGCTTTAATTGAGCATTTAAAAGTACCTGTATTCTTACCTGTACATTTTGTGCTAATTTATAAATTACCAATATCAGTAATTGTTTATCTGTTCTAATACATTTTTAATCATACTTGATTTACGTTTTCACCTTTACCTGTCCATGTTGAAATGCATTCGTTTTCACATCTCCGTGTTAACCTACATTAGTTTTGACATGTCTATGTTGACCTACATTACTTTCACCTGTCTATGTTGACCTACATTACTTTCACCTGTCTATGTTGACCTACATTACTTTCACCTGTCTATGTTGACCTACATTACTTTCACCTGTCTATGTTGACCTACATTAGTTTTCACCTGTCTACGTTGACCTGCATTAGTTTTCACCTGTCTATGTTGACCTACATTAGTTTTCACCTGTCTATGTTGACATACATTAGTTTTCACCTGTCTATGTTGACCTACATTAGTTTTCACCTGTCTCTGTTGACCTACATTACTTTCACCTGTCTATGTTGACGTGCATTAGTTTTCACCTGTCTCTGGTGACCTACATTACTTTCACCTGTCTATGTTGACCTACATTAGTTTTCACCTGTCTCTGTTGACCTACATTACTTTCACCTGTCTATGTTGACGTGCATTAGTTTTCACCTGTCTCTGTTGACCTACATTACTTTCACCTGTCTATGTTGACCTACATTAGTTTTCACCTGTCTCTGTTGACCTACATTACTTTCACCTGTCTATGTTGACGTTCCTTAGTTTTCACCTGTCTCTGGTGACCTACATTACTTTCACCTGTCTATGTTGACCTACATTAGTTTTCACCTGTCTATGTTTACCTACATTACTTTCACCTGTCTATGTTGACGTTCCTTAGTTTTCACCTGTCTCTGTTGACCTACATTACTTTCACCTGTCTATGTTGACGTTCCTTAGTTTTCACCTGTCTCTGGTGACCTACATTACTTTCACCTGTCTATGTTGACCTACCTAAACTTTCATCTATCCCGTGAGCAGGTTGTGGACATGAGGTGGGGTGTGAGGGACGAGGCCACGGACGATCACATGACCACCAACCTGTGCATGCAGGAGATAGAGAACTGCCAGCGAGTCTCTATGGGCCCAAACTTTATCGTGAGTGACATCTATTTTTATCTATTTTTAACTTCGGTAATCATCGGCAATCGTCGGCAATTTCCGATGCCGTGTTTTTTTTAATAATAATTTTTTTTGTTTTCAAATCAACTGAGCCTACCTACATGTTTATATATGCGTGCCTTCTGTTGTACGATTATTGGAATCCGCTTGAAGAAAATAGTGCGTACTTTTGCAATTCAAACTGAATTAGTAAGTCAAGATGAAATAGAGCTGAACTTTTTCTTGGCGTAAGCATACAATGACATGGTCAAGAGTTTGTCGGACTATTCTAGGTTTCCACTGTGTAAGTTCAGTTCCCAGCAGGGGTAGGTGCACTGAGAAGTTTTACTGACTCAATCCAGGGTGTGTGTGTGGGGGGGAGAGTCCTACTGACTCAATCCAGGGTGTGTGTGTGGGGGGGGGGAGAGTCCTACTGACTCAGCCCAGGGTGTGTGTGGGGGGGGGAGAGTCCTACTGACTCAGTCCAGGGTGTGTGTGTGGGGGGAGTCCTACTGACTCAGTCCAGGGTGTGTGTGTGTGTGGGGGGGTGTCCTACTGACTCAGTCCAGGGTGTGTGTGTGGGGGGGAGAGTCCTACTGACTCAGCCCAGGGTGTGTGTGTGTGGGGGGGAGAGTCCTACTGACTCAGCCCAGGGTGTGTGTGGGGGGGGGAGAGTCCTACTGACTCAGCCCAGGGTGTGTGTGTGAGAGAGAGAGAGTCCTACTGACTCAGTCCAGGGGGTGTGTGGGGGGGAGTCCTACTGACTCAGTCCAGGGGGTGTGTGGGGGAGAGTCCTACTGACTCAGTCCAGGGTGTGTGTGTGGGGGGGGGGGGTCTTAAAATTGCGAATTGATTGTATGTGGCCTCCAGCTGGCCAACAGATTAGTTAGGGCAAACTAAAATTTATACATTTTATTTGTCAAAGCTTTTGTAGGCGAGAATTCAAAAAACCTGGAGGTCTAAAGTTAAGCATCAATTATACGAGTGTACTTTGAATTTTTAAAGTTTTAAAAATAATATGGCAAATGTAACAAGTACATGTCCTCCGTGGATTGAATGTTGGCTCGCTATGGGTAAGAACATGATTTAGAGTGTGTTTAACTACATGCTTAGTTAAAAGCGAGAATAAAATAAGGCAGAGAACAATTAATATCCGATTCTCTCGGAAATTGCTGTAGTGGGTTACGCAATAAATCCTCACTTGATCTGCAAATATGGAACATAACTGTTTTAAAAGTGTGAACTTTGTTTTGAAACCCGTAGAGTTAACTTCCCTATACGTTTGTAATCACAAATAGTTCACACATTGCCCTAAACGACAACAAATGGTCCACATGTTTCCCACAAAGGCCACAAATAGTTTTCCACATTGTCTCTTGAACGGCCACAGATAGAAGCCCTTCAAAGGCCACAAATAGAAGCCCTTCAAAGGCCACAAATAGAAGCCCCTCAAAGGGCACAAATAGAAGCCCTTCAAAGGCCACAAATAGAAGCCCTTCAAAGGCCACAAATAGAAGCCCCTCAAAGGGCACAAATAGAAGCCCTTCAAAGGCCACAAATAGAAGCCCTTCAAAGGCCACAAATAGAAGCCCTTCAAAGGCCACAAATAGAAGCCCTTCAAAGGCCACAAATAGAAGCCCTTCAAAGGCCACAAATAGAAGCCCCTCAAAGGGCACAAATAGAAGCCCTTCAAAGGCCACAAATAGAAGCCCTTCAAAGGCCACAAATAGAAGCCCCTCAAAGGGCACAAATAGAAGCCCCTCAAAGGCCACAAATAGAAGCCCCTCAAAGGCCACAAATAGAAGCCCCTCAAAGGGCACAAATAGTTCACATATTGCTTATGAACGGCCACAAATAACATTTCGACTCCATTCGATCTGACCTATATGTGAGTACAATCAGTTCCAATCGAACCGGTATCGATTTTAATCGATAGCCTTTCATCTCACAAGGTCAGTAAATAATACGATAGTTTAGATGGATGTCGTTAACCTTTAACCAGCTAAATATTGAATCCATGTCGTTCATTTAAATAACGTAGCGACTCACGGATATATATATATATATATATATATATATATATATATATATATATATATATATATATATATATATATATATATATATATATATATATATATATGTATGTATAAGCAATACGATGCACTCATCACCAAAACATCAGTCATGTTCTGAATATAACGACAAGATCATGTATATTGTTGTCTAGGTTTGTGAGCCGGGAGTTGATTGGGGCCCCTAGTTTACATTCAGTGGATGTATCTTGTTGTGACTCGACTGGCATTAAGTTTTTTTTTAATGTTAATTAACCACCAAGACGTTAATTAACCACCAAGACGACATTACAGAAAAAGCTGTTTTGAAGGGGTTTTTTTTCAAAGAGACAAACAAATAAATTGTAAAATTTCAATTGGTTTTATTGCTAAAACGTGCATGTGTCAAGCCGTTTGAGATGTGTTTGCTTCTCTTCTAAACATAGCGCATTAAATGTATTTGATTAAAATCATCTAAAGTCTTTGGTTCCTCTGGGCTTTTAAGTATGGCAATATAATCCTCTGACACTAGGGTCTCCCCACCCCTTCAGCCACCTCCTGCCATTCAAGTATACACCCCAGCCCCCTACTACTACTGACCCCTTCTTTAGTTCTAATCCCCGACCCTCCCCGTACGACGACCCCCTCCTGCCATTCAAGTATACACCCCCAGCCCCCTTCTACTGCCCCCTTCTTTAGTTCTAATCCCCGACCCTCCCCGTACGACGACCCCCTCCTGCCATTCAAGTATACACCCCCAGCCCCCTTCTACTGCCCCCTTCTTTAGTTCTAATCCCCGACCCTCCCCGTACGACGACCCCCTCCTGCCATTCAAGTATACACCCCCAGCCCCCTTCTACTGACCCCTTCTTTAGTTCTAATCCCCGACCCTCCCCGTACGAGGACCCCCTCCTGTTCCCGTCACAGTCCACTGAACAGGTGCAGCTACAAGTGGTATCGATCCCAGAGTCACGTGGTCCAGCTGTCACGTGAACACTGTGGTCCGCCTGTCACGTGAACACTGTGGTCCACGTAGTACGTGAACACTGTGGTCCATGTATCACGTAAACACTGTGGTCTGGTTCTCATGTAAACACTGTGGTCCGCCTGTCACGTGAACACTGTGGTCCACGTATCACGTGAGCACTGTGGTCCACGTGTCACGCGAACACTGTGGTCCACGTGTCACGCGAACACTGTGGCCCGGCTGTGACGTGAACACTGTGGTCCACTTGTCACGTGAGAAATGTGGTCCACGTATCACGTGAACAGTGTGGTCCACCTGTCACGTGAACACTGTGGTCCACGTGTCACGTAAACACTGTGGTCCACGTGTCACGTGAACACTGTGGTCCGCCTATCACGTGAACACTGTGGTCCGCCTGTCACGTGAACACTGTGGTCTGGTTCTCACGTGAATACTGTGGTTCACGTGTGACGTGAACACTGTGGTCCGCCTGTCACGTGAACACTGTGGTCTGGTTCTCACTTGAACACTGTGGTTCACGTGTCACGTGAACACTGTGGTCCGCCTGTCACGTGAACACTGTGGACCACGTGTCACGTGAACACTGTGGTCCGCCTATCACGTGAACACTGTGGTCCACGTATCACGTGAACACTGTGGTCCATGTGCCACGTGAACACTGGTCCGCCTGTCACGTGAACACTGTGGACCATGTGTCACGTGAACACTGTGGTCCACGTGTCACGTGAACACTGTGGTCCACCTGTCACGTGATCACTGGTCCGCCTGTCACGTGAACACTGTGGTCCACGTGTCACGTGAACACTGTGGTCCACGTGTCACGTGGTATCAACGATAGCTTCCACTGATATTTTCACCGAAACAAACCGGAAACCACGCCCATTATTGCGTCCAGACGTCAATTGGCCGGCGCAGGTTGTCGTCTGGTCACAGCTACAAGGAATTTTACTTTCGAAGATTTTTTTTCTGCATGATAGGGGTCACTTTTATGTCAGGTTTCCCATTATGTGGGACGTCATTATTTTGTTAACCGCAATATTTCGACTAGTAACGTTTTTTTTTGGGGGGGGGGGGGGGGGGGATGGAGCAATTAATTTTTTTTAAAACTAATATGAAATGACGTTGTATTTTTAAGGCATAGCTTAATGACTACATTCATTATTAGTTATATGTTAGTATTGTTGTTAAAAATGTCTGTAAAAATATGCCCAGGAAAAGACTTACATTTTTGAACATGCAATATCTATTGGGTGTCGGTTGGGTGTTTGTGACTTCCATAGTATGTCTTGTGTGAGTGTCTTGTGTGAGTGTCTTGTGTGAGTGTCTTGTGTGAGTGTCTTGTGTGAGTGTCTTGTGTGAGTGTCTTGTCGAAGATTTGTCGTGTTGGATGTCTTTCGTTTCGTGTCGTAAATTTTAAAAAATATCTACGCAATATTTCAATCGTTGTTTGTATTCATTGATTAAATCTTCACGCGGAAACTAAATTTTCGGTCATTCGATTCACAAAGTACAACAATGCAGTTTTCGATTTGTATTACTTTGTTTTTATTAAAAAAATATCAACCAACTTAGTGAAAGAATGTTGTGAATTTTGTCCAGAAATACAGGTACCGTCTAATCCATCAAATTATTCCTTTTAAACTTTGAGCAGGTATTTCTTGGCTAAAAATAATGGTAACTGTCAAAGGCGTGACGAGGGGAGGGGGGGGGGGGGATGCGGACCGCACCGGGTGACACCCGACATAGCGACGCCTCTGGTAACTGTAACTAAAATTACTGGCAAGTAGTGCTCGCTCAGATACCCCCTAATATTTTGTGCAGGTATTCCATGGCCAGAAATACGGGTACCTTCTATAAAAATATGGGTACCTTCTTTAAAAATATGGGTACCTTCTATAAAAAATATGGGTACCTTCTATTAAAATATGGGTACCTTCTATTAAAATATGGGTACCTTCTATAAAAATATGGGTACCTTCTATAAAAATATGGGTACCTTCTATAAAAATATGGGTACCTTCTATAAAAATATGGGTACCTTCTATAAAAATATGGGTACCTTCTATAAAAATATGGGTACCTATACCCTCCCATATTTTGTGCAGGTATTTCCGGCCAGGGCCGGCGCTACCTATAAGGCGAACTTGGCGGTCGCCTAGGGCGCCATCCCTAGGTGAGCGCAAAAGGTTTAAGCACTATTATCAAAAAGTACCTAATAATTCAAATGGTTATCTAATTTTAATAGGGCTTGTAAGTCTCGTTCTCTCTGCCTTTGAATTAGAAATCTGTCCTGGTGTACAGAGTTTTGTAAAGACGGGGTGTTCAAAGTGTTGTCACTTGTTTCGTAAGTTTTGATGAATCGTTTAGATTTGGGAGTAACGGCGGAAGGCTGTTGCTGAAATGGTTTCGTAGGTCTAAAGTTTCGAAGTGTTAAAGTGTCATAATTTTTATTAGGCTGTTATGTAGGATGAAGGTCTAGTTGAATCTGATTGGTAAAAGAGAAATGAGAATGCAGGGGATGACGTATCGCAGTTCGAGAGTTCGGGAGTATTGAGGTGTCGAATTATATTGACTATTAAAGTGTAGTAGTAGGTTCAGTGAAATCGTTGTTCATTGGGTGTACCATTTGTAGAGCTTGGTGAAGTTAAACGAGTTGGTGTCGTAGTTCTGGAGCATCGAGTCTAGTTATATTTAACTGTTTAGGTATCTAAGTTTGATATGTGTTGTGAATGTAGTAGAGTATATCGAGTAGTCGAGTTTATTTGCCATGGAACTCTGGAGAGTAGATGAGAATAATCCCGAGAGGATTTCTGCGAAAAAAAAAAGATTTCTTATGGGCGGCGCCCGGGAGGGTGTGATTTTCGTCAATGCACGGTTTTGCGCCCAGAGTTCCAGAGCGGCTATGCTAGCATTTGGCATCCTTAACGGGCGTCCTGCATAGCGGGTAAGGGGTACTGCTATATACAGCGGTAAAACTGCAACATGCTCAACCCCCGGCGTCTCGTCGATTGCTCGACCCGAAGCGCACCGGGCTCGCATGCGAGTACTATGGCGCCTACGTTCGTTTAAAAAAAGGCTATGCAGTAAAGACGCAATAGGCAACAATAATCGTTGAATTAATCGAATTAAGTTGCCGACCCCTGCAGTTACCCGTGTTTGATTTTTTGAAAGACGTCCCTTTATATTGGGGATCCAAAATTAAACATTTTCCATGTTCCAAAAAGTGCAATGGATTGTATGTCATCAATATTGAATAAAAGTATGTTATAATAAAGCTACCGTATTTAGACTTTCAAACAAAAGCCACAGTTAAGTATTCAATTATTAAAATATATTGTTTTTACAAGGTTACATAGTTAATATAAAAGATTTATTATAATTATTAAGTAATGAAATTTAAAGCGTTTTATTGTATTTTTCAAGCATGTTTTAGTTACACTTGGTTAATTTAGCTATTCTTGTGAAAGTTATTTCCCGTGAATAAAATTTTGGTATTTGGATTTTCAAATGGGAGATAATTCGTTGCTTAACTTAACATTCATTTCAAATTCCTGCACCTTAGGTTGACCGTTAACATATAACGTTATTATTTGCTATTGTAAAAAATTATATAGAGCTTAAGTTCTAGGTAGTTTTTTTAGCATTATCAAGTTGAAAAACAAATACATCTGTAGCCGATGTAGATTGCAATACTTAATGTTAGTAGACATACAGTCTTATTTGTAAATTAAACATCTAATTAAGTGTCTTTTCATATTTTTCACCCTCTCCTAAAGGATTCATATATAACAATTTTAGGCTGGAATCTATAACATTTATAACCTTTTATTTTTATAAAACAAAAAATCGTTAGATAATCACACAATACAGACATCTTACAATTATAACTAAAGACAGTCGAGCTTAAAATGGGTAAGTTCCTTTTTGGAACTCACCTTGGGAGGTCTGCAGAGAGCCCAACACTACAAGAATATATTTTTTCGGTGGTTTTTTTCCAGACTTTTTTCTCCCGGGAGGGGGGGGGGGGGGGGAAAGCACATAAATTTTTTAGGGGGGGGGGGCTATGTCGTAGACTCGTGGACTTGGCAACACTTTCAATAAAATGCGATTATGCTTGCAAACTGGAATTGAAGGAATTAGTACAAGCTTTTGAGACGAAGAAGGCAAGTAAAATTTGATTTTGATATTATCTTCTTATAACGTGTATGCAATTGATAATAAATTAATACGTCACTTTTAATTCATTGTTTTCTTAAACATATGTTTTAGTAATTAATTTGTGTGAAAGGGGGCGTTTTAAGAAGTTTTGCCTAGGGCGCTAAATAACCTGGCACCGGCACTCTTTCTGGGTCAGAAATACGGGTACCTTCTATAACCTCCCATATTTTGTGCAGGTATTTCCGGGTCAGAAATACGGGTACCTTCTATAAATACGGGTACCTTCTATAAATACGGGTACCTTCTATAAATACGGGTACCTTCTATAAATACGGGTACCTTCTATTACCTCCCATATTTTGTGCAGATATTCCTGGTCCAGAAATACGGGTACCTTCTATAAATACGGGTACCTTCTATAAATACGGGTACCTTCTATAAATACGGGTACCTTCTATAAATACGGGTACCTTCTATAACCTCCCATATTTTGTGCAGGTATTCCTGGTCCAGAAATACGGGTACCTTCTATAAATACGGGTACCTTCTATAAATACGGGTACCTTCTATAAATACGGGTACCTTCTATAACCCCTGATGTTTTGATCAGGTATTCCTGATCCAGAAACGCGGATACCTTCTATAAATACGGGTACCTTCTATAAATACGGGTACCTTCTATAAATACGGGTACCTTCTATAACCCCTGATGTTTTGATCAGGTATTCCTGATCCAGAAACGCGGATACCTTCTATAAATACGGGTACCTTCTATAAATACGGGTACCTTCTATAAATACGGGTACCTTCTATAACCTCCCATATTTTGAGCAGGTATTCCTGGTCCAGAAATACGGGTACCTTCTATAAATACGGGTACCTTCTATAAATACGGGTACCTTCTATAAATACGAGTACCTTCTATAAATACGGGTACCTTCTATACCCCTTGATATTTTGTGCAGGTATTTCTGGGCCAGAAGTACGGGTACCTTCTATAAATACGGGTACCTTCTATAAATACGGGTACCTTCTATACCCCTTGATATTTTGTGCAGGTATTCCTGGGCCAGAAGTACGGGTACCTTCTATAAATACGGGTACCTTCTATAAATACGGGTACCTTCTATACCCCCTGATGTTTTGTGCAGGTATTCCTGGGCCAGAAGTACGGGTACCTTCTATAAATACGGGTACCTTCTATAAATACGGGTACCTTCTATACCCCTTGATATTTTGTGCAGGTATTCCTGGGCCAGAAGTACGGGTACCTTCTATAAATACGGGTACCTTCTATAAATACGGGTACCTTCTATACCCCTTGATATTTTGTGCAGGTATTTCTGGGCCAGAAGTACGGGTACCTTCTATAAATACGGGTACCTTCTATAAATACGGGTACCTTCTATACCCCTTGATATTTTGTGCAGGTATTCCTGGGCCAGAAGTACGGGTACCTTCTATAAATACGGGTACCTTCTATAAATACGGGTACCTTCTATACCCCTTGATATTTTGTGCAGGTATTTCTGGGCCAGAAGTACGGGTACCTTCTATAAATACGGGTACCTTCTATAAATACGGGTACCTTCTATACCCCTTGATATTTTGTGCAGGTATTCTTGGGACAGAAGTACGGGTACCTTCTATAAATACGTGTACCTTCTATAAATACGGGTACCTTCTTTAAATACGGGTACCTTGTATAAATACGGGTACCTTCTATAAATACGGGTACCTTCTATACCCCCTTGATATTTTGTGCAGGTATTCCTGGGCCAGAAGTACGGGTACCTTCTATAAATACGGGTACCTTCTATACCCCCTTGATATTTTGTGCAGGTATTCCTGGGCCAGAAGTACGGGTACCGGCCTATCCCCGCCGAGATCTTGGCCTCGGAGTTCGAGATGTTGCGAGACTGCACCAGGCAGAGTCCCGAGGAGCTGAAGCTGCTGGATGACTGGTACAAACGGGACGACAACTTCGTGCCCGCCGTCTACGTACTCCAGCCCATCAGCTCCATATTCACCAACTTCAACAACAAGGTCAGTTTGTGGTCACGTGACAAGGTCAGTCTGTGGTTCACCTGACAAGGTCAGTCTGTGGTCACGTGATAAGGTCAGTTTGTGGTCACGTGACAAGGTCAGTCTGTGGTCACGTGATAAGGTCAGTTTGTGGTCACGTGACAAGGTCAGTCTGTGGTCACGTGACAAGGTCAGTCTGTGGTCACGTGACAATGTCAGTCTGTGGTCACGTGACAAGTTCAGTCTGTGGTCACGTGACAAGATCAGTCTGTGGTCACATGATAAGGTCAGTCTGTGGTCACGTGATAAGGTCAGTCTGTGGTCACGTGACAAGGTCAGTATGTGGTTCAAGTGCCAAGGTCAGTCTGTGGTCACGTGACAAGGTCAGTCTGTGGTTCACGTGACAAGGTCAGTCTGTGGTCACGTGACAAGGTTAGTTTGTGATCACGTGACAATGTCAGTTCGCTGTTGAGGTGACGTCATGTCTACACAAGGTCTGTGATTTAGCTATAATGTAGACATGAGTTCAGTCTGTTGTTTGGGTGTGTTTCATGTTATAATATGTTGCTCTTTGATTCGTTGGTTGGGTGTGTAGCTTTAGTGTGTTGCTTTAGTGTGTTGCTTTAGTGTGATGCTTTAGTGTGTTGCTTTAGTGTGTTACTTAAGTGTGTTGCTTTAGTGTGTTGCTTTAGTGTTTTAGTGTGTTGCTTTAGTGTGTTGCTTTAGTGTGTAGCTTTAGTGTGTAGCTTTAGTGTGTTGCTTTAGTGTGTTGCTTTAGTGTGTAGCTTTAGTGTGTAGCTTTAGTGTGCTGCTTAAGTGTGTTGCTTTAGTGTGTTGCTTTAGTGTGTAGCTTTAGTGTGCTGCTTAAGTGTGTTGCTTTAGTGTGTTGCTTTAGTGTGTTGCTTTAGTGTGTTGCTTTAGTGTGATGCTTTAGTGTGTTGCTTTAGTGTGTTGCTTTAGTGTGATGCTTTAGTGTGTTGCTTTAGTGTGATGCTTTAGTGTGTTGCTTTAGTGTGTTGCTTTAGTGTGTTGCTTAAGTGTTTTAGTGTGTTGCTTTAGTGTGTTGCTTTAGTGTGTAGCTTTCGTGTGTAGCTTTAGTGTGTTGCTTTAGTGTGTTGCTTTAGTGTGTAGCTCTAGTGTGTAGCTTTAGTGTGTAGCTTTAGTGTGCTGCTTAAGTGTGTTGCTTTAGTGTGTTGCTTTAGTGTGTTGCTTTAGTGTGTTGCTTTAGTGTGTAGCTTTAGTGTGCTGCTTAAGTGTGTTGCTTTAGTGTGTTGCTTTAGTGTGTTGCTTTAGTGTGTAGCTTTAGTGTGTAGCTTTAGTGTGCTGCTTAAGTGTGTTGCTTTAGTGTGTTGCTTTAGTGTGTTGCTTTAGTGTGTTGCTTTAGTGTGTTGCTTAAGTGTGTAGCTTTAGTGTGTTGCTTTAGTGTGTTGCTTTAGTGTGTAGCTTTAGTGTGCTGCTTAAGTGTGTTGCTTTAGTGTGTTGCTTTAGTGTGTTGCTTTAGTGTGTAGCTTTAGTGTGCTGCTTAAGTGTGTTGTTTTAGTGTGTTGCTTTAGTGTGTTGCTTTAGGGTGTTGCTTTAGTGTGTAGCTTTAGTTTGTAACTTTAGTGTGCTGCTTAAGTGTGTTGCTTTAGTGTGTTGCTTTAGTGTGTTGCTTTAGTGTGTAGCTTTAGTGTGTAGCTTTAGTGTGCTGCTTAAGTGTGTTGCTTTAGTGTGTAGCTTTAGTGTGTTGCTTTAGTGTGTAGCTTTAGTGTGTAGCTTTAGTGTGCTGCTTAAGTGTGTTGCTTTAGTGTGTTGCTTTAGTGTGTTGCTTTAGTGTGTTGCTTAAGTGTGTTGCTTTAGTGTGTTGCTTTAGTGTTTTAGTGTGTTGCTTTAGTGTGTAGCTTTAGTGTGTAGCTTTAGTGTGCTGCTTAAGTGTGTTGCTTTAGTGTGTTGCTTTAGTGTGTTGCTCTAGTGTGTTGCTTTAGTGTGTTGCTTTAGTGTGTTGCTAGCAACTGAGCCGGAAGTTCCAAGTTCTTCCGTCTGACCTTTCAGCGTCATCAACGTCTGATGGAGAACGACCAGGCGGCCTGGTGGGACACGTTTGGTAAACTGACCAAAATCGTCCGCAAGGCGGCGCACGTTTTGTTTATCACCAAGAAGATTGACAGGGAGCAGATGCACAACTTTTTCATGTCAGGTCAGTGCTGTCTTTAACTTTTTTGTAGGGTCAGTTCTGTCAGGTCAGTGGTTCATGCTAAGACCCGTCTCTGATTAAAAAAAAGATTGCATAGACAGTTTAATAACAAGCTTTAAAGTAATAATGCACTAATGAATAAACTCACTAAACTCCACCTAGGTCCATTCCCCCCATTAACCCCAAAAATAACTAATTTCGAGCGAACACACACAGACACACACAGACACACACACACACACACACACCTTGATCTAAAAATAATACGTAAACTTTCCCACCAATTAACAACAACCAATTAAATTAAACACGGTTCAATTCACGCACTAATTAACCGCGGATGTTTTTTAATCCCTACCCAACGATTTCCCCCCCCCCCCCCCTTACCCCACTCCCACCCCCACCCCCACCACACAAACCACAACATGGGTAGAAAATTCGGTTCCCGATTCTTTCATCTCTAGTTTCCTGTAGTTTAGCCAGGGACACTGAACGGCTTTTAGATACACTTTCACGGCGCCCTCTCGTGGTTGCCTGCAATAATCACCCGACCCAGCGAGCCAACAAACCCTACCCCCAGAGTTTGGCCAGGGGTCGGGCAAGTCTTTGAACATGGAAACATTAGACGGGGGTTATCCCCTGAACTAAAGCCACTCTGCCCTTGAGCAAATAAAGTTTTGAGTTTTATGAAACATTGGTCCTTTGCCTGATTTCCGACGTGTTTAGTTAGAACAAACGGGGAGTTATCGATCTCTAATCGAAGGAATTAATTCCCGCTGGTGTAAAACTAATCTATTGGTGCTGATCAAATCGGGATCCCCTGCAGTGTCCAATCACGGGTATAAAATATCATGGGGAGTAGAGCTTTGGTGGACGTGGTGGGGTGGGTTAGGTGTATGGGGTAGCTGGTGATGTACGCAGTTAGGATGGGGATGTTCACGGTCAGGATGTTGATGTAGTCAGGATGGTGATGTAGTCAGGATGGTGATGTAGTCAGGATGGTGATGTAGTCAGGATGGTGATGTAGTCAGGATGGTGATGTAGTCAGGATGGTGATGTAGTCAGGATGGTGATGTAGTCAGGATGGTGATGTAGTCAGGATGGTGATGTAGTCAGGATGGTGATGTAGTCAGGATGGTGATGTAGTCAGGATGGTGATGTAGTCAGGATGGTGATGTAGTCAGGATGGTGATGTAGTCAGGATGGTGATGTAGTCAGGATGGTGATGTAGTCAGGATGGTGATGTAGTCAGGATGGTGATGTAGTCAGGATGGTGTTGTAGTCAGGATGGTGATGTAGTCAGGGTGGTGATGTAGTCAGGATGGTGATGTAGTCATGATGGTGATGTAGTCAGGATGGTGATGTAGTCAGGATGGTGATGTAGTCATGATGGTGATGTAGTCAGGATGGTGATGTAGTCAGGATGGTGATGTAGTCAAGATGGTGATGTAGTCAGGATGGTGATGTAGTCAGGATGGTGATGTAGTCAGGATGGTGATGTAGTCAGGATGGTGATGTAGATGGTTGTGAGTGGTGTTTAGGTGAGTGAGTGGAGGTTAAAGAGGTGGGGCAACTGTCAATGTGGAGGTTTTGGGGCGTTGTATATGGAGGAGGTAATTGACTATATGTAGGGACAGCTAACACAGTGATTCGTAGTGAGTGTAGGCGGTAGCTGTTTTGGTGGGGGGGGGTATCTATCGAGGTGTGAGCTGGATTAGACTAGCAGTGCATTAAAACCCAGGTTTAAGGCGTAGAGATTATTTTAATAGAACACAAACAAGCTCCAGAGGCGTAGCGAGGGGGGGGCGGGGGGGGGGGGGACATATGTCCCCGGGCGCCGACCTTAGGGGGGGGCGCCAAATTGAAAGTTTGAGGGGGGGGGGTGCAAATGAAAAGTTCGAGGGGGTGGTGCAAATCGAAAGTTTGAGGGGGGGTGCAAATGAAAAGTTCGAGGGGGGGTGCAAATCGAAAATTTACTCCCGAGGGGGGCGCCAAATTGAAAGTATGTCCCCGGGCGCCGGGAAGGGTCGCTACGCCTCTGACAAGCTCACCGCTGTGTTGCAGTAATACATACATGCCTGATGTACCGCCATCTTGACTGACCAACACTGACCGTAACAACAGCCGTAAAAAATTATCATTACTTAATACTAACACCATCTCTGATTGTCACCAATGATCACCAGTCAGTGGTAATACCATCACCATTATGTAATTCCATTATGACGAGTAATTGACGAGCAGTCGCCGCTACTTGCTACAACAACCATAAGTTACTTCTATTGTTTACATACAACTCCGCGCCACCCCCCCCCTCCCCCTCCATAGCCCTTCAAGTACCCAACAGCCAGACTTCTACTTAAACCCAGCTTTAAACTATCAAAGACAAATTATTGTTCGTTGAAATATCAATGGAAACAATGTCCCAACGGCAAATCTTTTTAAATTCAATTCTTTACAAGTCGAACACTACCACGCCTCCAATTTCCGATTGATTGTAAAATAATTAGTGGTGTATTTTCCAGTTAACTTCACAACAATGCCCAAACAGGAAACATTTTTACCATGGTAAAAAAAAATTCTTCTGGAATATTCCAGTGACTGAGCGGGAGGTTGAAAGAGGGATTCTCAAAGCTAACAGTGTCGAGGACCACTGTTTAGCTTATATCCGGGACATCAGCAATATGAACACAACTCTTCTGCGAATAGCCAGCAAGTTTGTGGACTTCGCGGCCAGAAGGTAATATCTGTAGGGATTTATTTCACTGCAAGACTGACGTGTCTAGTTATAGTCTTTTCTAATATTTATTGATTTGTTTGTTCTTTTATTTGTTTTTTCTTTTTTTCTTGTTTTGTTTGTTCCTTTATTTATTGCTTTTTTTTATTTCTTGTTATGGAAAAAAATGACGAATTACTGTTGTAGGGTATGGTTGCTTTTAGACAGGAAATACGAGATATAAAAAGTATTTATGTGTGCATTTAATTATGTTAATTGCTAATAATGGCACGTCAAACTAATTAAGTGAGCTCCAACGTGTGTCCGTGATGTTGAGTGACGTGGTTATAGCGACCTCCGTGATAAGTTTAGCTTAAGAAAACGAAAGTAACCACGGCTGGTCAGCTGTTCTGTCAGCTCACGTGACTCACTGAAGTGGTCATAGTGCTAGGCGATAGTACACACAACTCGAAAAAACATCAAATGCTACCCTGTGGTTACTAAAATATGTACACACCTCTAGAATGCCAGCATCTGTGTATGTTAAAATATGTACACACCTCTACAATGCCGTCATGTTAAAATCTGTACACACCTGTACAATGCCACCATACGTACATGTTTAAATGTGTACACACCTGTACAATGCCAACATGTGTACATGTTAAAATGTGTACACACCTGTACAATGCCATTCTGTGTACACGTTACAGCGTAGACAACGAGGCCCAGAAGCTGCTCAAGGTCCTGCGAGATGAAAGACTGCCCAGAAAGATTCCAGCGTCCAACGTGGCCAGGTTTACGGTAGACTGGAGCGGCAAGGAGGGGATAGATGAGGAGACACATAAGGTAAGGGGGGTGGGGGTGGGGAGACACATAAAGTAATGGGGGGGGAGATGAGGAGACACATAAGGTAAGGGGGGGACAGATGAGGAGACACATAAGGTAAGGTGGGAAGGGGGGGGGGAGACACATGGGGGGGAGATGAGGAGACACATAAGGTAATGGGGGGGGGGGGAGATGAGGAGACACATAAGGTAATGGGGGGAGATGAGGAGACACATAAGGTAAGGGGGGAAGGGGGGGAGACACATAAGATATTGGGGGGGGGAGATGAGGAGACACATAAGGTAAGGGGGGAGACACATAAGGTAATGGGGGGGAGATGAGGAGACACATAAGGTAAGGGGGGAAGGGGGGGGAGACACATAAAGTAATGGGGGGGGGGAGATAAGGAGACACATAAGGTAAGGGGGGATAGATGAGGAGACACATAAGGTAAGGGGGGAAGGGGGGGGGGAAGCAAATAAAGTAATGGGGGGGAGATGAGGAGACACATAAAGTAATGGGGGGAGATGAGGAGACACATAAGGTAAGGGGGGAGACACATAAAGTAATGGGGGGGGGGAGATTAGGAGACACATAAGGTAAAAGGGGGATAGATGTGGAGACACATAAGGTAAGGGGGGAAGGGGGGGGAGACACATAAAGTAATGGGGGGGGGGAGATGAGGAGACACATAAGGTAATGGGGGGGGGGGAGATGAGGAGACACATAAGGTAATGGGGGGAGATGAGGAGACACATAAGGTAAGGGGGGAAGGAGGGGGGAGACACATAAGATAATGGGGGGGGGGGGAGATGAGGAGACACATAAGGTAAGGGGGGAGACACATAAGGTAATGGGGGAAAGATGAGGAGACACATAAGGTAAGGGGGGAAGGGGGGGGAGACACATAAGGTAATGGGGGGGGGAGATGAGGAGACACATAAGATAATGGGGGGAGATGAGGAGACACATAAGGTAATGGGGGGAAGGGGGGGAGACACATAAAGTAATGGGGGGGGGAGATGAGGAGACACATAAGATAATGGGGGGGGAGATGAGGAGACACATATGGTAATGGAGGGGGAGATCAGGAGACACATAAGGTAATTGGGGGGAGATGAGGAGACATATAAGGTAATGGGGGGAGACACATAAGGTAATGGGAGGAGGGGGAGGAGACATAAGGTAATTGTGGGGGGGGGGGGAGAGGATACACATAAGGTAGTTTGGGGGTGGGGGTTAGGAGACACATAAGGTAATGGAGGGGGTGGGGGAGGAGACACATAAGGTAATGGGGGGGGAGATGAGGAGACACATAAAGTAATGGGGGGGGGGAGATGAGGAGACACAGAAGGTAAGGGGGGAAGAGGGGGGGAGACACATAAAGTAATGGGGGGGGAGATGAGGAGACACATAAGGTAAGGGGGAAGAGGGGGGGAGACACATAAAGTAATGGGGGGAAGATGAAGAGACACATAAGGTAATGGGGGGGGGGGAGATGAGGAGACACATAAGGTAATGGGGGGGGGAGATGAGGAGACACATAAGGTAAGGGGGGAGACACATAAGGTAATGGAGGGGGGGAGACACATAAGGTAATGGGGGGGGGGGGGAGGAGACATAAGGTAATTGTGGGGGGGGGGAGAGGATACACATAAGGTAGTTTGGGGGTGGGGGTTAGGAGACACATAAGGTAATGGAGGGGGTGGGTGAGGAGACACATAAGGTAATGGGGGGGAGATGAGGAGACACATAAGGTAATGGGGGGGAGATGAGGAGACACATAAGGTAATGGGGGGGGGAGATGAGGAGACACCTAAAGTAATGGGGGGGGGGAGATGAGGAGACACATAAGGTAAGGGGGGAAGAGGGGGGGAGACACATAAGGTAAGGGGGGAAGAGGGGGGGGAGAAACATAAAGTAATGGGGGGAGATGAGGAGACACATAAGGTAATGGGGGGGGGAGATGAGGAGACACATAAAGTAATGGGGGGGGGCAGATGAGGAGACACATAAGGTAATGGGGGGGGGAGATGAGGAGACACATAAGGTAATGGGGGGAGATGAGGAGACACATAAGGTAAGGGGGGAGATGAGGAGACACATAAGGTAAGGGGGGAAGGGGGGAGACACATAAGATAATGGGGGGGGGGGAGATGAGGAGACACATAAGGTAAGGGGGGAGACACATAAAGTAATGGGGGGGGGAGATGAGGAGACACATAAGGTAAGGGGGGAAGGGGGGGGGGGGAGACACATAAAGTAATGGGGGGGAGATGAGGAGACACATAAGGTAAGGGGGGATAGATGAGGAGACACATAAGGTAAGGGGGGAAGGGGGGGGGGAGACACATAAAGTAATGGGGGGAGATGAGGAGACACATAAAGTAATGGGGGGAGATGAGGAGACACATAAGGTAAGGGGGGAAACACATAAAGTAATGGGGGGGGAGATTAGGATACACATAAGGTAAGGGGGCGATAGATGAGGAGACACATAAGGTAAGGGGGGAAGGGGGGGGGAGACACATAAAGTAATGGGGGGGGAGATGAGGAGACACATAAGGTAATGGGGGGGAGATGAGGAGACACATAAGGTAATGGGGGAAGGGGGGGGGAGACACATAAGATAATGGGGGGGAGATGAGGAGACACATAAGGTAAGGGGGGAGACACATAAGGTAATGGGGGAAAGATGAGGAGACACATAAGGTAAGGGGGGAAGGGGGGGGGGGGGAGACACATAAGGTAATGGGGGGGGGGGGGAGATGAGGAGACACATAAGATAATGGGTGGGGGGGAGATGAGGAGACACATAAGGTAATGGGGGAAGGGGGGAGACACATAAAGTAATGGGGGGATATGAGGAGACACATAAGATAATGGGGGGAGATCAGGAGACACATAAGATAATGGGGGGGGGAGATGAGGAGACATATAAGGTAATGGGGGGGAGACACATAGGGTAATGGGAGGAGGGGGAGGAGACATAAGGTAATTGTGGGGGGGGGGGAGAGGATACACATAAGGTAGTTTGGGGGTGGGGGTTAGGAGACACATAAGGTAATGGAGGGGGTGGGGGAGGAGACACATAAGGTAATGGGGGGGGGAGATGAGGAGACACATAAAGTAATGGGGGGGGGGAGATGAGGAGACACAGAAGGTAAGGGGGGAAGAGGGGGGGAGACACATAAAGTAATGGGGGGGGGGGGGGCGGGAGATGAGGAGACACATAAGGTAAGGGGGAAGAGGGGGGGGGAGACACATAAAGTAATGGGGGGAGATGAGGAGACACATAAGGTAATGGGGGGGGGGGGAGATGAGGAGACACATAAGGTTATGGGGGGGGGGAGATGAGGAGACACATAAGGTAAGGGGGGAGACACATAAGGTAATGGGGGGAGGGGGAGGAGACAAAAGGTAATTGTGGGGGGGGGGGAGAGGATACACATAAGGTAGTTTGGGGTGGGGGTTAGGAGAAACATAAGGTAATGGAGGGGGTGGGTGAGGAGACACATAATGTAATGGGGGGGAGATGAGGAGACACATAAGGTAATGGGGGGGAGATGAGGAGACACATAATGTAATGGGGGGGGGGGAGATGAGGAGACACCTAAAGTAATGGGGGGGGGGAGATGAGGAGACACATAAGGTAAGGGGGGAAGAGGGGGGGGGAGACACATAAAGTAATGGGGGGGAGATGAGGAGACACATAAGGTAAGGGGGGAAGAGGGGCCCAGTGGCGGAACTAGAAAAAATGGGCCACCCCGCAAAAAAATTTTTTGGGCCCCCCATATATATATATTATATATATATATATATATATATATATATATATATATATATATATATATATATATATATATATATATATATATATATATATATATATATATATATATATATATATATATATATATATATATATATATATATATATATATATATATATATATATATATATATATATATATATATATATATAAAACAAGGTTCGCTCTCAATTAAAAAAAAATTACATCTGGTACACGAATAAATCAGAGGTTTTCCAACACACGAGCTGGCCCCTTTCTAAATCTAGTCCAACACACCAAACTGAGGCTTTCATCAAAACGTTACTAACCGTGTGCCCTGTTTTCCAGAAGTTGAATTAAATGTTAACAATGTCGGCAGTTCATTTCTTGGATCTTAGGGCGCGGGTTTGTCCACACTACCAACTAGACACGCCAAGGCATGCTGTAAATCCCTCTGCGACGGCCCAGGTGTCATGGGAGTCACGGGGCTCTTGGAGCTACCGGTTACATTACTGCACGGGTGATGGGTGTGACACATTGTTTCTTCCGGCAGAGTTCCCCCCCCCCCTCCCCTCCCCCGAAAACAGTCTACCCTGGAAGAAACATTGGTGCGACACCTAATTAGATTTAGTCATCGAGTGTTGTAGCGAGACTTATTCCTAGTGTTGTGGGAACTTTTAAACGACTGTCTGTAGGGGCCAACTTGCTCATATGTGATGCGCTCAGGATGACACTGACGCCGGTTGTATTCAAGTAGTAACCTCATCCACTTATGCAGTATCACGGGGCGCTAAATCACATATTTCCGATAGGAGTCCCCACTCAAATATGTACAAATGTTAGGCCTATGACAGAAACCTTTGCGGGGCTGTACTCAACAGCTTCCCAAGTTTTCATGGCGATTGGGTGAATGATGCAGTAATGCATAATAATATTAGAGAGAAAAATGTTTTTCACATGTACAACTGTATGTGGCCAGGTCACGCGTTGGATAACCTTCTGATTTAGGGGAGGGGGGGATTAACAAAAAGCCAGACCCTCACACACCCCCACCTCAATGACTATTAATAATGTTCAATTAATTCTAAACGTTCTAATTAATTTCTAAATAATTATTTAAAAAATAATCTTACCTGCCCTGTTTTGAGAATTAGATTTGCCTAATACTATGAAAGTAAATTAATATGTGTTGACTAGATCTAGTGTCTGACAAAATGTGCTGAAGTGGTGAATCGTACGGTTAGGAAGTAGTTCATAAACGATACATTTATCTCCTCGATACTTGTGAGGTTGAGAAAGAGGGATGGGATAGGGGTCGGCTCGGGAAAAAAACTTGAAAGGGACAACAAAACGCCTTGATCTATGTACGTCAGCATCGCCCATTGTAAAACTTACTCAGGGGAGATAATTTGAAGTATAGGCCTTAAAAGTTTACTATATTTCTTGTAAAATCAAAAACAAGTAAACGTATATAAAACTGAAGTTTCTAGTATTATATTATTTTTTTTAAATTATTTGTACGATACAAGATAGTACAGGATACAAATTCAACCACTATCACAAACATTATATTAACATTGAAAAATGTACAATGGATTTCGGGTCCCCTACCAATGCCGCGAATAAGCACCGCGCATCATGATAGTATTGAAAGCCCACTTCATATGTAGCGGCTTTTCGTGCTATGGACTTTGTTTTTTTTTTTAAAAAGAATTTTGCCGGCGACAGCGTGTGTTTGATTGTAGGGAAATAGAACTCGGCCTTGACGATGGTTAAAAAATACAACTATAAATAACTGTTTTAAATATGTAAAGAATTTGTCGACAATTTTTTAACCCCCTTTTTGGTCCCCATCCCCTGCCCCATCCGCCACAGTATACTTTGGAGGATCGGTCAAACAGTTACGTGTCCTCTATTTAGCTATCAAAGGGAGGGGGGGGGGGGGCAACGAGTCAAAGAAGTCATTCAAAATTTGAAGAGTAATGTAATGGATTTTATCTTTTGCGGAAGAGCGTGGTACAGTACAGTAGTTCATAGACGGTTTGTTAATCTACGCATTACATCTTACTGTAAGAGTAAGGGTGTGGTGAGGGGTAGAGGTGAGGGGTAGGGGAGAGGAGAGAGTTGGGAAGGTTCATTGGAAGGGGACAAGAAAGTGCCGATAAACATCTACATCAATAGTGCCGACTTTATCCGGTCGTCTAGAAGACCAGGATAGTCGCCGACTCGCCGGTCGCCGCAACATTTCCCCAGCCCGATTTCAAAGCGTGCCGGCAAAGTCAAATTTCAAATGCTTCGCTGAAGGGAAATAACTTATACTTTTACAAGTTTATTGATACAGTTGTTAAAGTAAAAATGAACGCAATTATAAATGTATGAGATCGAAATAAATAATTATATTTTTTGTAGAATTCAGGCCAGTAGTTTAAACACATAATCATAGATATGTGTTTTAATAATGTAAACAATATAACAATGTTTTTACTTTCTCGTATATACGAAGTATAGAGAAAGTCTTGTAATCGTGCACAAAAATCACATTAAATTTTACACTGTAGTTTGTGTAATGGATTTTATCTTTTGCGGAAGAGCGTGGTATAGTGACTGTAAAATAAAGATAATCGTACCGCAGCTACGGTGTTTTTCTTTTACAAACCAAATATTAAGGCAAAAATTAAATTCAAAATTAAAAAAAAAAAAAATTTGGTCAGCCGTGGGCCCCTAAACGGCTTCCCCCCCCCCCCCCCCCCGCGCATTGCGGGGTCTGGCGGGACTGTAGTTCCGCCCCTGTTCATCAGGTAAATGAACAACTACTGACTAGTGTTTTTAACAAAATGTGCAGAAGTGGTCAGTTTACAGTTCATAGACGGTTCGTTAATCTATGCATTACATCTTATTGTAAGAGTAAGGGTGTGGTGAGGGGTAGAAGTGAGGGGTAGGGGGGAGGGGGGGGGGGGGAGAGAGTTGGGAAGGGAAGGGGACAAGAAAGCGCCGATAAACATCTACATCAATAGTGCCGACTTTTTCCGATCGTCTAGAAGACCAGGATAGTCGCCTCGCCGCAACATTTCCCCAGCCCGATTTCAAAGCGTACCGGCAGGTGCTTCGTCTTTGAAGTTGTCTATATGTCTGGCGGTCTCTCGAGCTATAGTCAGTGCATTTTTCTCAAAGACGTTTGCCGACTATCGTGTTTGTTTGTAACTGTAGAAGAAAGATAACTCGACCTCCACCTAATTTTTTTTTTTTTTTTTTAATAATTTAGCCAGGATTTTTGGGCCCCCAATTGGTCTGGGCCCCCCCGCATTGCGGGGTCTGGCGGCACTGTAGTTCCGCCCCTGAAGAGGGGGGGGGGAGAAACATAAAGTAATGGGGGGGGGAGATGAGGAGACACATAAAGTAATGGGGGGGCAGATGAGGAGACACATAAGGTAATGGGGGGGGGGAGATGAGGAGACACATAAGGTAATGGGGGGAGATGAGGAGACACATAAGGTAAGGGGGGAAGAGGCGGGGGGGGGGGAGACACATAAAGTAATGGGGGGGGGAGATGAGGAGACACATAAGGTAATGGGGGGGAGATGAGGAGACACATAAGGTAAGGGGGGATAGATAAGGAGACACATAAGGTAAGGGGGGAGATGAGGAGACACATAAAGTAATGGGGGGGCAGATGAGGAGACACATAAGGTAATGGGGGGGGGGGAGATGAGGAGACACATAAGGTAAGGGGGGAAGAGGCGGGGGGGGGAGACACATAAAGTAATGGGGGGGGGAGATGAGGAGACACATAAGGTAATGGGGGGGGAGATGAGGAGACACATAAGGTAAGGGGGGATAGATAAGGAGACACATAAGGTAAGGGGGGAGATGAGGAGACACATAAGGTAATGGGGGGAGATGAGGAGACACATAAGATAGGGGGGGGAGATGAGGAGACACATAAGGTAAGGGGGGGGGGAGATGAGGAGACACATAAGGTAATGGGGGGAGACACATAAGGTAATGGGGGGAGATGAGGAGACATATAAGGTAATGGGGGGTGGGGGTTAGGAGACACATAAGGTAATGGGAGGGGGGAGAAGAGACACATAAGGTAATGGGGGGTGGGGGTGAGGAGACACATAAGGTAATGGGAGGAGGGGGAGGAGACATAAGGTAATTGGGGGTGGGGGTTAGGAGACACATAAGGTAATGGGAGGGGGGGAGAAGAGACACATAAGGTAATGGGGGGTGGGGGTGAGGAGTCACATAAGGTAATGGGGGGTAGGGGTGAGGAGACACATAAGGTAATGGGGGGAGAGGAGACACATAAGGTAATGGGGGTGGGGGTGTGGAGACAGATAAGGTAATGGGGGGGGCACATAAGGTAAAGAGGGCGGGGTGTGGACACATAAGGTAATGGAAAATGGGTGGGGTTGAGGAGAAACAAGATAATGGGGGGGGGGGGGTGAGGAGACACATAAGGTAATGGGGGGGGGGGGCACATAAGGTAAAGAGGGCGGGGTGTGGACACATAAGGTAATGGGGAATGGGTGGGGTTGAGGAGAAACAAAATAATGGGGGGGGGGGGGGTGTTGGTGAGGAGATACATAAGGTAATGGGACATAGAGTGATGCGGTTATAGGCCAAAATTTTTTTTTTTCGTCAGACAATTTGTCTACAGCGAGAAATGTTTTAGTAACATTTAAACAAACGATGTGTTTCCATTTAGGATTACTTTGAGAAGTTCTGTGAGCACTTCTACATCCACGTGATCCGGTTGGTGGACAACGCCATGAGCAAACACGAGCGGCTGGCCAATGACCCCGTCTATCTGGAACCGTTGCAGCACCTGCATGCCTGCAAGAGGTACTGCAAGGCTTTCCAGGTGAGTCTCCTGTCGTTATCTCATACGTCATTGGACAATAACTCATACGTCACTGGACATTAGCTCATACGTCACTGTACATTAGCTCATACGTCACTGGACATTAGCTCTTACGTCACTGGACATTAGCTCTTACGTCACTGGACATTAGCTCATACGTCACTGGACATTAGCTCTTACGTCACTGGACATTAGCTCTTACGTCACTGGACATTAGCTCATACGTCACTGGACATTAGCTCTTACGTCACTGGACATTAGCTCATACGTCACTGGACATTAGCTCTTACGTCACTGGACATTAGCTCTTACGTCACTGACAATAACTCATACGTCACTGGACATTAGCTCATACGTCACTGGACATTAGCTCTTACGTCACTGGACATTAGCTCTTACGTCACTGACAATAACTCATACGTCACTGGAAATTAGCTCATGCATCACTGGACATTAACTTATTTGTCATATTACCTCATACAACACGAGAAAATACTAGTGTGGTATGTAGAGACAACAAAAAAACAATGCAAATTTTAACAGGTTGTGGAAATTTAAAAAATATAAACTAAACACATTATTAGAAAATTATAAGAATTAAAAACTATTTTAATACGTTTCTTTGAAAAAAAAATTGTGACAACGCTCAAATCATGGCTGATAAGACAGAGCTTTACTTATTCATGTAGAAAATGACTTGCGTTTTATGTTCTTTTTACCATTCAGGGGAGAGAAGAGGTTATTCGCAGAATTCACGAGTATGTTGTGGGCGACAGTAACCTCCCTTTGGTTCTGTTTGGCGAGAGCGGCTGTGGGAAAACCTCCATAATGGCCAAAGCTGCCAACCAGGTACTCAATTATTTATAGTGCCAGACATTAAATAAGATTTACCTGGGGAAAAATTACACGCGATAATTTTTTTTAAATTAAAAAAATCTTTTTTTTTTACCTCTAGGTTGTTGGGCAGTGGTTCTCAAAACCTGTCGTGATGGTGCTCAGATTCCTCGGCACCACCCCGGGGAGCTCCACCATCATGCCGCTGTTGACGTCATACTGCCAGCAGCTGAGCGTCATGTACAACCAGCCGGCAGACGACATCCCCAACGAACTGGCGCCCCTGCAGCAGTACTTCAAGAAACTCATCACCCTCGCCACGCCCGACCAGCCGCTGGTTCTCTTCTTCGACTCGTTGGATCAGATTTCCGGTTCTGACGGCGCCCACAACCTGACGTGGATGCCAATCATGCTACCGCCGCATGTGAAAGTTATCATATCCGTGCTGCCCAACTACTACGGTCTGCTGGATCTGCTTCGTACGATGATCGACAACGAGGAGAGTTTTATCGAAGTTCTTCCCCTAGGCGAGAACTTAAGCAGCACGATCATACAAGCCTGGCTAACCAACGCCAACAAAACTGTCACACCGGAGCAGTGGACGCTGGTCAACGAGGCCATCACAAAGTGTAATTTACCGCTTTTTGTCAAGCTGACTTTTGACGAGATTTGCAGGTGGAGATCGTACTTTAAGCCGAGTCTGACGCTTTTAGCCTTCACCATACACGACTGTATAATGCTGTTGTTCGAACGCATTGAACTACAGCACGGGAAGACGCTAGTATCGCACGCTCTAGGATACATCTCGGCTTCTAAAAGTGGCATTTCAGAACCGGAACTTGAAGATTTGATATCCTTAGATGACAAAGTACTAAATGACATTTATCAGTACCACTTACCACCTGTTCGAAGAATCCCACCTCTGCTTTGGACCAGGATAAGAAATGATTTACCTGGGTATTTAAGTGAACGTGAAGCAGACGGTGTCAGTGTTATTGGCTGGTACCATAGACAGTTCATAGACGCCGCCAAGGAACGGTATTTTAAAAATCTGAATTTCGTCAGCACCATCCACTCCAACACGGCGGAATATTTCCTGGGCACCTACGGCGGAGGGATACCAAAACCTTTTGAGTACTCAGACCTACAGAGGCAGCGGTTTCACCTGGATGATAAGCAGAGTGCAGCCGATAGGAAAGTGCCTCCTCAGCCGTTAGAGTTTATGGACGAAAAGGGCAAGGTCATCCGCTACAACTTACGCAAGCTCAGCGAAATGCCCTACCACCTGATCCGCTCCCATAGGTACGAGGACCTGTACGAGAAGGTCATCTTCAACTACAACTGGCTTCACGCCAAGCTGGCCTCGATGCCGCTACAGTCCGTGCTGGCTGACTTCGAGGATCTGCTCAACCACGTCTACGACAAGGACGTCCGTCTCATCGCCGACGCCATCCGTCTTTCAAGCTCCATTCTTAGCCACTACCCGGACATGCTCGGGCCCCAGATTACCGGCCGACTTTTGCCGTACTACCGGCTCAATCCGAAAATCCGAGGCCTCATCCAGCAATGTGACTCGGATGGATTGCGTCACTGTGCTCTGGTCTCCGCCTATCACTGTCTACACACCCCCAGCGGGCCTCTTCAATATTCTCTAGAAGGACATCAATTTGCACCGTTTGGTATCGGCACTCCTACAGATGGCAAGTATTTGGTTTCCGTCTCCAACAAGATCATAATGTGGGACCTCACGACGGGCGAGGTGTCTAGAAACATTAGCCCGGGTATAGAGGGCATCATGCAGAACTTAAACATCTCCCCCAACGGGAAATATTCGGTGAGCTACACCAACAACAACCAGTTGATCGTCTGCTCCCTCAACACAGGCGAGTACCACATCATCACGCCGGTGGTACCACTGAAGAACGAGGCCATCCGGGGAACTAGCGTGTCCAACACACACGTCGCTATGTGGACCGACACATCATGGCTGCTCTACACAATCGACGGTGTGTTTGTTGGTGAGTACAAATCCGAGCTCAGAATGCCGGTGCTGCATGTTGATCTGGACAACACACCAGACGGCACGAACCAGATTATTGTGAAAAGTGGCACAGAAGACGATACCGAAATGGCGCTTGAAGCCCATGATTTGTCTATAGAAGCTTTTGAGTTCCATAGTGCTATAGCCATCAACAAAGCTAAGACAAAGCTGTACACTTGCATTGAGATAAGTGATAACGCTGTAGTGGCGTACAACAGAGAAGACGGTGCTTGGAAATACGACAGGACCATAGGCGAGAACTCCGAGTCCATTTTCTCTTTCAGTCTGTCCGATGACGAGACCTATCTGATAGGCACGACAGCCCAGGGGTACAAGCTGTACGACCTGAAGACTGACCAGCTCCGGGAGCTGAGTCTACCGCACGGTATCAGGAACATCCCGACCAAGAACCAGCTGACCAGCTTGGTCGTCTTCACAAAAAACAACCAGTTTGTCGTGGCTGGGGTGAGGAAGAACTTGTACGTCTGGGACGTCAAGCAGGGCACTATGGTCAAGGTGCTGGACGCTCACTTTGGACGAATCTGTGCGTTAGTTTCCGTCACCATCGGCAGAAACACCGTCATCTCCTCGTCTATGGATAAAACAATCAAAGTCTGGAACTTTGATAAAATTCTGGAGGACGTTCACCCTATAGACAGGCTGGAGCGTCCTATCGAGACGATCGCCTTGGCTAGCGAGTCCCCGTTGTGTGCGACTACGACAAGAAACACCGTGGCCATCTGGAACTTGGAGACGGGCCGTCTTGTGAAGACATTTGTAGGCAACGCTAGAAGCGCCATCGTTTCTCATGCAGTCATCACATCTAAAGGAGATTTCGTTGTCAGTGCTGAGTCCCCCAAACTGCTAATATGGGATCTATCCAAGGATACGCCTCTGGTTGAAGTGTCTCTAGGGGACATTCAACAAGTCTTGTTGTGTGAGGAAGAAACAAAAGTCATCGCCGTAGCCAAACTCCCTGGGGGGAAGGGAGTTTGCGCGTGTTTAACTGTTCCTGGGGGTGTGGAAGTGTACAATTTTGACTACACCTTCAAGGTGTATCGCAACCCGGTGGTGACCAAAGACGGGATTTACCTGGCGGTGCCGGGTGTTGACAAGAGCGGGGACGTGATTGGGGTGTACCACGGCAAGACAGGCGCCAGGCTGTACAATCTACAGCTCAAGTACCAGAGCTACATCGACTACAGCCACATCGTCGCCATGCCCCATGATTCCAGTCTCATCGCGGTTATTGACCCCGATAAGGGCAACATCCTGGATCTAAAGAAAAAAGCACTAGTGAGGTCAGTACCGAGGTGGAACGGTCACTCTATGCAGGACGGGAAGATAGGGATGTACGCGCCAGCCCGGGGTGGGTTGGAGTTGATCAACCTGAAGAGCAACAAAACAACGAAGGTTTTGATCCCCAGGGTGGCGGAGGGCGTGTTCCAGGTGACCGTGTTCTTCACACAGAGCGACAAACACGTCGTCTACTACCACTCCCGCCACCGGACTGTCCGGCTTTTCCGGGTATCGGACGGCAAGATGATCGCCAATTATAAAACCAGTGCGGAGGTCAAGGCTATCGTAGGCAACGACCAAGGCACGTGCATTGTCATCGGCTGCCTGGACGGAAGTTTGACCACTCTGGCAATAGCTGACCCTGAAGACGAGAGCTGCCAGGAGATGCTAGAGGCACTACCCAGCAGGAACCTGACCAGGGGTGTGACGTCAAAGGACCAAGGGGACGCTGGGGGGGAGGCACTCAGTACCAAGAACCCCGCGGGGACGGCGCTCCAAGTGGCAAGGTTTGTCTCTAAAGCACAAGGGAATCAGAAGTCAAAAGCGTGTACTATTTGTTGAGTCGCGCGTCTAGCTTGTCATGAATGGAATAAATAATTACTGTTAGGTTTACTTATGATCTAGCCTTGATACTATTGAATTATTTTGCTTGTTATGACCGAAAACACAATAGCATGACTTTACATAATTACGTTACGTTCTTTTCTAATCTAGACCCTTTGACAGCTGTTTTGAATTACTTTATTATGACCAAAAACATAATTGTATTACTTTACATTATGTTGTAATCTAGACACTGACGTTTGTTTTGAAAGATTTTGTTTGTTATACACCGCGTGTTGTCAAATTTTATTTATTATTTTAATTTGAATTTTTCTGTTGAAACAATTTTCTTTTCATTTTGACAACAGACGGGCGTCGCGTCCTTGACATTTACCGCGGGTCACGTGATGAGGTGGGCCTTGCATCTGCCAGAGACGGTTAATGTTCGAGAGACTTTGTTTCCTTGTCTCAGCCATGTTCTAGAATTGTGGGCGTGGCCTTGTCTGGCGCATCTTGGGACGATTTGGGCTACATCTAAAGATGTACTTTAAAGATATTACTGCTTCAATTTTGGCCTTGTTTTATGCAATTATCAAATACTTTTTTAACATTATTTTTAATACCCTGTCATGACGTAGTTTTTAATTATTTTTTTCTTGTGTATTAATTTGTTCTCTTTTGTTTTAATTTTGTTAGTCTGATGTTTATTAATTTGACTTGCTACTGGGGAATCATAACACTAAGCCAAAAAAAAACTACTAGGAAAACTACACTAAGGGAATATGAACACTAGACAAATCTCACACTTAGCTGAACCAATGGCGTCACAAGACTTGGGCGGGGGCAGAGGCGTAGCGAAGGGGAGGGGGGCGGGTGGGTACATATGTCCCCGGGCGCCGACTCTAAGGGTGCCAAAAAAATTAAAAGCTCACTTATAAACATAAATATATGGGGAGGGGGGGGCGCCATACTGAAGGTTTGTCCCCGGGCGTCGGGATGGGTCGCTACGCCCCTGCGGCGTGTGGCATCATTTAGGATGCGACACCACGGCAATAGAAATAAAATTTATTGTTAAAACAATGTTTTATTCAGTTATGGTAACAATATAATGTGGGGAGTGGGGTGACACCAAACCGAAAATGCACGGAAATTTGTTGGAGGAGTGGGATGGCACCCATCCTAGTGACACTACTGAACTACCACACACCTAGGTTATCTGTATCAAGTGAATATCCCTACCATTAATCCTCTCACCTGTAAACTATTTACATATCGTATCACATCAGATGTATTTAACAGCTTCCAATCTACATAACGACCTTTATGTTTAACACAACCCATCCACATTTAGTGAAGTGGTCATCTTGAGACCACACCTCGGCTTATTCAGTGATACGTTTTTAAAAAAAAAATATTCCTTTACTGACGAAGGCCTTTGGTTGATACATAATTTTAAAATACGAGATTTTGAACATACTACTTTTTGTGGTACGTTTTATATAAAACTTGAGATTTGCTTGATTCAACATTCAAGTAATGAAGGAATGTGTAATGTGTATGTAAAGTTCAACACTGAAAACCTTTGATTACATGAGAATGGTCGATTGAACAGAATCCCTTGTTGCTATCCCATTGAACTTTTTCTTATAATCATCAATTGTTTTGATCATCCGGCGGGGAGGGATCCCTTTACTTTAAAACGTGGCAGGAAGTTTTCTTTCCTGGCATTTTGTTCTGGGAGCATTGAATTAATATTCCCGGAAGTGGGCAATTATATAAATGGATATATATATAATATATATATATATACATATATATATATATATATCTTTAGTCCGAGAGAAGGATGGGAAAGGACGGGTGGACGTGCCTGAAAACACTACATGTGGGTTTTAGAATGAGATAAACTGCATTTAAATTAGATATTAGAAGTCTGATGATATTGTTGCTGAGTCAGCAATCCTCTCCGTGCAATGGTTGATTGAATTAACTTACTTGTAATTCACCATCTAGGCTGGCCAAATTCCCCTATCATTTAATTACCACTTATATCTAGATTGCTAAATGTTACAATGTTTAGTCGACTCTATATACCATTTTGTTTTTACTTGTACATTTTAATGTTAATTATTGCTTTCATTGTCTCAAACCAAAGCTAGCTAAACTACTAGCATTGTTTGTTTCTTACAAGAAGTTTAACTTTTAGCTCAATGCATTGTTTTGTATATAAGCAATGTACATGTAATCTGTTCTTAATTTCAAGAAGTTTAATGTATCATGTATGTATTTAAAACTCTTGCCCAATTTACAACAAAATCTTCATCTAACTCATCAAATCCTAATCTTAATTATTTAGTTGTCATCTCAAGCAGATGTATTGCTTATTCAGCAATTTGGGTTCAATTAAAGACATAAGCTAACCAGATGGGCCTTCAAGTGTCAGTAGCAAATTATACATTCCTGTAAGGTTAGAGTCACGGCTGGGAAGCATCTCACATAGAAGAGGTTGCTTATTATAAACACTTTGGCAGTGCATTGAATTTTGTTTAAAATCTTTCTTATATTCCTCTAGTACTACAAGTGGTGTTTATAATCATCCTTACACAAATAAACAAGCTCGCTCTGGTCTAGTAAGATTTTAAAATAAGTTCATCACAGTACAGCCAATTATCTCCTTCCCTTATTTTAAAATAAATTGAGATTACAAAATTATAATAAAATATGATTCATAGATTCCAATTTTGGATTTCCGTTTTGATCTGTCAATTTTTTTATTTATAACTTAACCCACGGGTAAATTAAAACATTTCATTATTTAACTAGCTGTATCAAAACAAAGTCCATAGCTATTTTGTTTTTACCAAACAATAGTGCAGGTATTCCCAGAAAAGCAATAGAAATGCTGATAACATTTCAAAAATATACTTTAATCATTTAACATATCAAAACTGGTGATTTCATTCCATTGACAATGAATTGCACAAGTAACAGCACATACAACATAGGTTGCTGATAATTGGTGGGAACTTTAGGTGTTGACAACATATCCTTTCTTACAAGATACCATCACATATTCCAATTAACATTAACTATTGCGCCAAATCAAGCCAAACTACAATCAAGATAAACAGAATATCCAGTTGCCAAATAAAGGTTACAATTAAATGGTCTTTTCATTTCATTCTCAGAAGCAAAATAAGACGAACAATAAAAGTAAAAATTTCCTAATGATTTTGTATAAAGATGAAGCAGCGCAACTACTTCCATTTCTGTTCTAGTTACCTTACTTGTTAGCGTCATATTGTTACTTCAACATATTCAGTAACAGAGCAAGAAGAGTAATCCTAGTTCAAAGTGTTTGGTGTACAAATGCAGTACATCAATCAAACCACTAGTAAAGACAGTCTCTGATTATCTAAATCACAAAATTATCTTTGGTCCTAACAACAAACTGGAATGTTTGCAGGCATTTTTGTTTTATCTTCCATAATTATTATGGATGGCACAGTGTGAATTTTCCCAACAAGGTTTTGACAAAGTACACCCCTAGTAATCAAGCATTTTTCATAAACATTTCTTTAAGTAGTAATACTAAATAAAAATTAAGATCTATTGGAAAAAAATTAAGAGGGCAGAACTAAAACAGTGGTAATTAAGTGCAGTTTAATTAATGCACACACAACTTCTAAGCTGCAAATATGCAATGCAATCAATTTCAATACATTCTACTAAAAAATCAGATTCAGACAGTTCAACCTCACTTCCTCAATAACATGATAGAATGTGTTATTTATTTAAGCAAATGACTAGGTCTGTTGATCTCTGAAAATTGTTTTAGCAGATGTCTTTAAATGTTAGCACAGATACTATCATCTTCCCAGGGTAAAAATTAACATAATATTTAGTTCTAGCAATAGAAATTAATTGAACAAAAAAAAAACTAAGACAAATGGGATAAAAAGTCAAAACAACAAAGCTGTGCTCACCAAATTTAATCTTGTATATCCCAAATACTTTCCGTAGAAAAACAAATTTGGAAAGAATCTGTGACTTTTACATGTACAGCATAATTACAATTAATGAGTAAATTAGCAACCATTTAAACAATACAAATATGTACTGGGATTTGATAACATCAACAAAGAACCTTCAACAAGTTGACAAAATGTATGTTCCATGTTTACTTGACTTGGGAAAGGGGAAAGACAATATAAAATGGGTTGTAGTAAACATATAACATTCTATGACAGCAAACCCTGACACAATAAAATGTACCCTTACAACTAAACATATGTGTGATCAGGTACAGTTGTAATAACCAGAACATATTTTATCCTAGTCAACCTTACATGTACACAAGTTCCAATTTAATGCACAAGGACATAAGTTGATTTCAATTGTTTATTGTTTCTTAAAGGTAATATCCACTTTCCACCTGTCACCTCACAAGCCTAAATGATCCTAGAATTAAGTCACTGAAACGACAGCTGGGCAACATTATGACTGCTACAATCAAATGTCATCTTTGTTCAACGGCCAAAAATGACACCACACTCTATGGTCCAACGTTTGACAGCTATCACAAACAGCTTTGTTTATCATTTGTTAATAGACTACAATACTGAAAAAATGATGGATGATGTGATACTAACTTTTGCTTCAAAAAGACTAGACAATTCATGCACATCATCATCAGGCAGGAATGCATTGGTTCAAGTCTAAAGTCATTAGTACACGAGAAGCCAACAACATTAAACTTGGGTCCACATCTTGCATGCAAACCTGAATATCTGGCCAAACGCGCATCACTCCTTTGCAACAAGACTGTTTCCCTGATATCCTCTGTTAGAAGGCTGTTAGTGGCCACAACTTGGAGCAGTGATGAGTGGATCCAGAATTGAGCAGCGGTCCAGCACTTGGAAAGACTGATGACAACATGGCCCCTTCACCCCGCTCCAGATGAATATTGAGAGGGGGGTAGGACAGTTAAGCATTTCAGCAACTGGGCAACCAGTGGACTATATATCTAACGATGGCCTATGTTAATCCTTGCTAGAAAACACATACAAATTGTTAGTGGCAGCTATTGCAACAATGTTCTCAAGTGGATGCCATGCCGTGTGAAGTATTTTCTTATTAAAATCTAAACAGTCTACACTTATTTCATCCTTCTTTCTTTTCCCACCAGTGGAAACTTTTCTAGGCTTGAGCACTGTTCTTGATTTTGTTATTTCTCTACATGCTTCAAGTGTACAGTCTCTTTTATTTTCACGTTCAAACATTCTAAAGAAATTATTGTATGAACCAGTCATGATGTGCCTGTAAATAGAAAAATAAATTATGTTTAGCAACTGTTAACAAGGGGTAGGTAACTAGCAATGTATAGTAAACATCCATCAATGAGCAAACTTACTTGTCATCCCCACTCCAAGAGCATTCAAATTTGTCAAAAATGCAGTCATTTTCATATAGTGAACACAGCTTATTCCTGAGGTACTCATGTACTTGATAGGTTTCTACTGGTTTGGTCTCCATATTCAAATCCCATACCTTGACAGACAGGTAGTCTCTAGTAATCATATAACGACCACTATGACTAAATTTTACATCAGATATACTAGAAATAATCTCAGAGAAGAAACTTCTATTGGTAGGGTCTTCTGGCTCTTCGAACACTGAAATAGAACAGAATAAAAAATGTTGACATGGGCAATTTCAGATCTTATTTTGATAATTTGCAGAAATAATTTTGGCCTATTTTTTTGCCCATTAGAAAATTTAAAAATTAATATTTAAATGTTAATCTGAAATGCTAAACTACACTGTTAGCTGTAACTATCTTTCAAAAAATTAGGTTTACACCCCACCCATTTTCTAATAACTTTAAAAAATATGTTTAATTTGAATCTATATCTAGCTACCCATACATTGGTGCCACTCTTTTAAAGTGAATCATAAAAACCAACCATGAAGCCAATATGAGAAATAATTAAAATCCTGGACTTGTTTAAAAATGAAAGTGATTAATTAATGTTTGATTCATTTTATATTCCATATACTGCCCTTCACTAGATTTCTAATCTTTTTAAAAACATAACAAAAAGTACCAGTCTTTCTATTTTGATTATTAGAAAAATAAGCACTTTCTGCTGACTAGTTCTGAGGTTAGTATTTACTTTCCGCTGGATGCGACTAAACATGTTCTGTAAGTTCTGCCCCATTATGAAATCATGCATGTTTTAGATTAGTACCGATAACCATGTAGTAGCAAGAATCCTTGAGATTTCAATTTTAAAAAACCAAAGATTTGATTATACTTTAAAGAAATGACAAACAGAAATAGCAAAACTAGAATTGCTACCACATACACACGACTCAAACTATAAAAAAGTAGCTTTAAGTTTACAGTTAAATACGCAACCAAATGAATCCTGAATACAAAGGTTTTTAAGTCCTGAGACCAATGAATTTAGCAGTTGATTGACAAGTGTATTTTTAAACTATAAAAATCTTTCTAAAGACTAAAAAGGGGCAAAGGTATTAGGATTCCCAACATATAAGGCTAAATGGCCTTTGATAAAAAAAAACAATTTCAATCAAATTATGAATCAGGCCTAAGACTAATTTCACATAATATTTAATCTCTAAGTAATAAATGAAGCAATGCTTCAGAAATTTCTTACACTTTGCATGCTTGTCACATAACGCTTGTTCCCTCATGTCACACAGTCTGATGCTACCTTTACTACTACTATAGACAAACATATTACATTCTTTGGGGTGAAACTCAGCTGCAGTTATTACTTCGGTGAGCTCTTCCATATTGGCTGGTTTAATATCCACTATATCTTTAAAATGTTAAGGAAAAATATCTAAATAATAACCAATTAATAAAGACTGCCATCTAAAGGAAAATAAGTTCTTTAAAATTGAAATTAAAAAGGATACTAAAACTTTGATCTGTTATTTCAAGATTCCACAAATTTATCCGTAAATCATCGGCTGAAAGGTAAGTTTCCAAGTCACTATTTACAGATATGGAATTTATGTGGTATGTATGAGCATTGGCAAACACCCTTTTTGGACTTGCTTCAACCATCAACTCCATGGGCTGAAACACTGGTACTTTAAGCGATGTGATTGCAGATTTATTGCGAAATTGGCCTGTTTCATCTTTTAAGTTGTACCCTTCTGGGCGTTTGTTTCGTTCAGCTACTTTCCATAGTTTAATGGTTTTGTCTGTAGATTAAAAACATTTTGATCTTAAATGCTTTAAAACTTTTAAATGAAAATATAAGTATTAAGTTAATACCCAAGAGGTACAGATAAAGCAGTACTAGACACATTAACTCAGATCAACAGTCCATGCATAAAAATACTATATTAAAAAAATATGTAACTGGTACTGTTCCTATTGTTCATAATTTACAATTTGTTGGAAAGACTATTTTAAATTAAATTCCAAAACCAGCATTCTACCCATGTCTGCATCTACCTATGTCTAAAAGAAGGGTCTACCACACGGACAACTGGATTACTAAGTCAAAATATTGGGGATAATTAATGTACAAATGTTAATTTGAAATAATAAAATTAATCTTGTTGTATTCTTAGTTTTATTTTTTTTAATCGAGAGTCTGGTGTGTATACATTTGACTCAGGCACGCAGGGGATTTTAGGTTCAGGAGCTAGAGCTATGGGTTCAAATGGATATGGGCCATGGGGCAGGTGATGTAGTTTACCTGTTTCTGCAACCTCTGCATAAGAAAGGATAATATTCACAGCTGGTTTTACTTTATCAAATGATAAGGAAGGTACACATTAAAGCTGAATGGACTCAAATATCCATGATCCAAACTTAAGACTCATTTTATGAGACGATACACTTAATCATTTAAAAAATCTATTATTTTTAGCCAAATTATTTTACCATTTGTCGACAATAAAAAATGATTTCTGTTGGTTTGTTGTAGCCATCTGATTTTGTTGATCTTCTCTTCAATTTCAAGACTTTTAAGATAGTCAAATTCAGGTTCATGAGACTGGAAAGTGCTGTACACATTATATTCTCCACGACTTGGTACTGCATTTTTGCTCTACAAAAAAAATGTATAGATTTTATAATATGCAAAGGTATTACTGTTAAAGCAACTGCAATAAGAAAGCCATATTCAAAACAATGTGTAACCAACTGATTGTTTAAAGTGTATTAGGTAAATCATCTGATTAGTGCATTTCAACAGCTGATATTAATAATAAAAAAAAAAAACAACAAAGATCTACACATGAAAATGATTATAATATCTGCAGTAAACTTTTATATAAAACTGGTTTATACAAACTATTTTAGGCTTAATAATTAAAGGACATAAACCTGAACATGCTTACTGCTTTATCTCTTTGAAAAATAACAACTCTGCCACCTTTGTCACCAGTAGCTAGAAGGTCTCCATCACTGTTGAACTCAACACAAGATATGATATCAGCTGAAATACATTTAAAAATAGATTGTTACACTAAGAAGGCATGTTTAATTAAAAGTAGTGTAACATAATACAAATAGATGGCAAGTAGCAGACAGAAAACTGTTCAATTGATTTAGTGCATTAAAAAATGTACTGAAAAGGTAATAAGTATCATGATTTCCAAGTGTTACAATTTCAAGGTAGTTTTCATGTCATTATGAAATGTTAACATGAGCAGCACCATTTGGATCAACGTAACTCCAGTAATCAAGATGCATTTAAGATTTAAAGTATGGTTTCGCAATAGATCTATATTCTGTGTGAATGTTCTTTTACTTAAGAAATAAGTAGTCTTTATGCCAACTTGAAATAATACTGATTAAACACATCTAGATCTAGATTCTATATTTAAGCCCCAAGCCTATGCGATGCCAAACTTGACAGTTGATTTTTCACTTATTAAGATGATCTACAATCTAAATCAAGAGAGTCTAGATCTACAGGCCACAGGGAAAACAACATTTGTCAGTGACCGATTTTCAATTCGTCATGTGGACACGATTTTAATTTATTTTGACAGGTAACGGTCACTAGATTCGCAGCGGTTTAAGAAAATGTGAATCCAGACAACAGATATTCTTCTAAATAGAAAAATGAATAGAATCTAGATTCTAGAAATCTAGATCTAGATATCTAGAATCTAGGCCCTAGATTCTAGATTTGGTTTTACACATCCATCTCTTTTTATAAACTTAAACTTAGATTCAACCTTTCTCAGATCTAGATTCTAGCTAGATCTAGATCTAGATTCTCTATATCTAGAATCAACTTGAGACTAGGTCACTTAATCTAGATCTCTGGATCTAGAATAGATCTTGAACAGATTAAAGTTTAAAGTCATTCGCTCGTGTGTCTCTCACTCTGGAATCTGGAAGAAGCTGGACTACTGAACTGATTTCAAATAACGATTAAATTCACCTACTTAATTAAAAGTTGGAATGTTTATTTTACCTTCAGCAACTTCTTCTTCGATTGAACCTTTAACTTGAGAAAAGCACCATGTTATCTCACCGCCATTACCTGCAAAAAATGCAAAGATAAGATAAGACTAAGAATTAAACGTTAAATTAACGAAGTTCACAACAATGTCAATACCGATAGAGACCTAAAATTTTATTCATCTACTTAACTCACCTGCCATGTTTAAATGCAGAAGTAAAACATGTGTCAGAAAAATAAATTAGGAACAAATATTCAATAAGTTGGGATTCTAGGGCATATATTATTGCAGATGTTAAAAGATTCAACTATGGATTCATTTTACTTCAACAATACTATTTCAACATGGCGAACTTCTCGGTAAAAATGGGTGACGTCACGGCGAGAGGCATTGTGGGTTATGGTTTTCCGCTATACATTCGACAGATAAATCGATTTTATGAATATTATAAGTGTTTGGTTATTTATTTTATATCTACCAAATTAAATAGCATATACAAATTTATAAAAGTACATATTTGTAAAAATAATTGTTGGTTTAAAACATAGAAAGCGTGAATTATAAACTTAACTTAGCCTCTTATGTCTTATAAACCACTAGGCTAGCCAAGAGTAAAGAAAACGTAGACTGCTACAAAAACGTATGACAGCAAAACTATTACTACTATACAATTTATCATGTGTTAGCCTAATTGCTGAGCAAACATATGGCTTCATACAATTGTATTTAAAATATATTAATTCCTTATTTTACAATTAAAAAAATGTGTTACCTATATGTTTAAGGACAAATCAGGTTAAATCAGCACGTCTAGACCCCTACCTAAATACCTGTCTAGGGACCCTACCAAAGCACACGTCTAGGGTGCCCTACCACAGCATATGTCTAGGGGGCCCTACCACAGCACATGTCTAGGGGGCCCTACCACAGCATGTCTAGGGGCCCTACCACAACATATATCTAGGGACCCTACCAAAGCACACGTCTAGGGTGCCCTACCACAGCATATGTCTAGGGGGCCCTACCATAGTATGTCTAGGGGGCCCTACCACAGCATGTCTAGGGGGCCCTACCACATCATGTCTAGGGGGTCTACCACAGCATATATCTAGGGGGTCTACCACAGCACATGTCAAGGGGGCCCTACCATAGTATGTCTAGGGGGCCCTACCATAGTATGTCTAGGGGGCCCTACCATAGTATGTCTAGGGGGCCCTACCATAGTATGTCTAGGGGGCCCTACCACAGCATATGTCTAGGGGCCCTACCACAACATATATCTAGGGGGTCTACCACAGCACATGTCAAGGGGGCCCTACCATAGTATGTCTAGGGGGCCCTACCATAGTATGTCTAGGGGGCCCTACCACAGCATATGTCTAGGGTGCCCTACCACAGCATATGTCTAGGGGGCCCTACCACAGCATGTCTAGGGGCCCTACCACAACATATATCTAGGGGGTCTACCACAGCACATGTCAAGGGGGCCCTACCATAGTATATCTAGGGGGCCCTACCATAGTATGTCTAGGGGGCCCTACCACAGCATGTCTAGGGGCCCTACCACAACATATCTAGGGGGTCTACCACAGCACATGTCAAGGGGGCCCTACCATAGTATATCTAGGGGGCCCTACCACAGCATGTCTAGGGGGCCCTACCACAGCACATATCTAGAGGGCCCTACCACAGTACATTTCTAGGGGGCCCTACCAAAGCATATGTCTAGGGACTCAACCAAACCTCATGTCTAGGGGGCCCTACCAAACTACATGTCTAGGGGGCCCTACCAAAGCACCTGTTAGGGTCCCTATCTAGGCACATGTGACATGGACTTTTGTAAGGGCCTAACCAAGCAATGATTGGTTCGAATATTTAGGTCACAAAGTAAACTTTCCCTGGAGATATTTCTAACATAAAAGTAATTTTTGAAATACAATTACTGTGACTGCCAAAAGGATACGGTATTACTACAGTATTACTATAACGGTTATCGACTTAACCATACATAGAATGGGCATATTTGAATGCAACCATAGGCATATCATATATATATATATATATATATATATATATATATATATATATATATATATATATATATATATATATATATATAATATATATATATATATATATATATATATATATATATATATATAAGATGCAATTTTTTTTTTTTTTGAAAGATAAGCAAAAACAAGTACGCATTACCAAGGTAGTGTAGGAAGAGACTCAGATGGGGTGGGGGGAGGGGTGGGGGTGGATGGAGGGGGGGGGTAAGTCTGCAATGACATTAAACCGAGTGGTTATAATTTACTGTTTCTGCTGACGTCACACGCAGCAAAACCCGTTGATTACCGAGTCTAGAGTGGATGCCTGCATGCGAGCCAGCCTCACAAAACCGCCTCGAGGTTCTTACATCGATCTCGTGCTATTTTTAGACATCGCCTGCAGAGGTCGCGACGATGGTTATTTTTAGATGTAGAATTTCGACATTTTTTAAACCGCATTGTAATTAGTCGATATGTTTCAAAGAAAAATAAAACTGAACTAACAAAATTGAATTACGTAATATTTGAATTCTTAAACATACCTGCGGGGTATTTATTTTATAGCGATGAGTTATGCAATATTCAATCAATACAAGGGACTGGGTAGATTTATATTCTCAGAGGTCAGTGCGTTGGTTATACAACAGAAGAACCCTAAGGTGTTGTGTAGTGTGTATAAGAATGGGATGAAGATGGTACAGTTGGTTGTCACGCCTAAATAACACCACACACACAACCCAACAGTAAATTAATCCTAGCCCTAACCATTTGAGTAAGGTTTTCAGTCGAACCCAAAACTAAGTATCGATTTTCTTGAAGGTTCATAGCGGAAGACGCATAAAAGCCGAATGGTACAACGTAAGGGAGAGAATAAGAGAATAAGACAGGAATAAAAGAAACGGTTGAAACGATGTAGCGTTAGAGGAATGTTGCTTTTGTTGTTTCTGTGTGCTTTAAATAATGTCATTTGAAGGTTTCTGTGTGCTTTAAACACATGTCATTTGGAGGTTTCTGTGTGCTTTAAACACATGTCATTTGGAGGTTTCTGTGTGCTTTAAACACATGACATTTGAAGGTTTCTGTGCGCTTTAAACACATGTCATTTGGAGGTTTCTGTGTGCTTTAAACACATGTCATTTGGAGGTTTCTGTGTGCTTGTTTCTGTCACATGTCTTTTGAAGGTTTGTGTGCTTTCTGTTATTTCAAGTTTTTGTGTTTCCTTTCGATACAACATCCGCTGATAAAAATGTTTAAAAATATCGGTGTGGTGTGAACTAAGATTCTCATTGACAGAAAATAAAACATTGAAGTGGCAGTGCTACACAAGTAACAGACAGATCCCTATCTAGCCTGCTTCAAGCCTACGTTAGGTCGGTCGTTTAACATAGGAGCACTTAGTTCAGGGGATCAGGGGTCCCGTAGTTCAGAGGACTAGGGGTCCCGTATCTCAGGGGACTAGGAGTCCCCTATCTCAGGGGACTAGGGGTCCCCTATCTCAGGGGACTAGGGGCCTCGTAGTTCAGGGGGCTAGGGGAACCCGTAGTTCAGGGGGCTAGGGGTCTCGTAGTTCAGGGGACTAGGGGTCTCGTAGTTCAGGGGAGAAAGGTCTCGTAGTTCAGGGGACTAGGGGTCTCGTAGTTTAGGGGACTAGGGGTCCCGTATCTCAGGGGACTAGGGGTCTCGTAGTTCAGGGGACTAGGGGTCTCGTAGTTCAGGGGAGAAAGGTCTCGTAGTTCAGGGGTCTAGGGATCTCGTAGTTCAGGGGTCTAGGGATCTCGTAGTTCAGGGGATCAGGGATCCAGTATCTCAGGGGTCTAGGGATCTCTTAGTTCAGGGGTCTAGGGATCTCGTAGCTCAGGGGATCAGGGATCCAGTATCTCAGGGGACTAGGGGTCCCGTATCTCAGGGGACTAGGGGTCTCGTATCTCAGGGGACTAGGGATCCCGTAGTTCAGGGGTCTAGGGATCCAGTAGTTCAGGGGTCTAGGGATCCCGTATCTCAGGGAACTAGGGGTCTCGTATCTCAGGGGTCGAGGGGTCTCGTATCTCAGGGGTCGAGGGGTCTCGTATCTCAGGGGTCGAGGGGTCTCGTATCTCAGGGGTCGAGGGGTCTCGTATCTCAGGGGTCGAGGGGTTTCGTATCTCAGGGGTCGAGGGGTCTCGTATCTCAGGGGTCGAGGGATCTCGTAGAACAGGGCTCTAGGGATCACGTATCTCAGGGGGCCAGGGATCCCATTGATCAGGGGACGAGTAAACATTAGAGCCTAATTTACGGTCAGTTTACTTGCTCACAACATATACACTAAAGTACAGTTTATATAATGGCGTTAACATGTGTACTGTATAGTTTACAGTAGTTTACACAATGAAAGCATTGAATGAACAAAAATACCAAATAATTTAGAACTATTCAATTTACATTTGCTAAATGTGATCTAAATATTTACAATATACATCCTTACATTAGTTTAAATTATAAAGGGTTATAATTAATCTTGTCTAGGATTAGTGACTGGGGTTTGTGCACACACACAGGCACATACACACGCACACTTACAGGCACACTTACAGGCACACACACAGACACGTACACTCACAAAAGTTCAAGCGGTTACATATTTCATAGAAAACAATATTCCGAAGATTTTCAGAAACCTTAATATGCATATTAATAAGCTAGGCTACAACTAACAACCCCAAACAACGCTCGCTGTGTCATACGTCTAAGTGGGTCAAGGCCGTCACAGCACACTTGACACGCTCATGTGTTCAACCCACAAATGCCGGGCCAGATGTTGGGTTGTCCCACACTTGGTGGCGTGCCGTGAACTACACTTCTGGCCCAGAAGGCCACACGACAGATAAAACACTCAATCAATTTTATCCAATTTACAATGACTACAACTACAATACAGTTTAAGCTAAACAATGTACTTTAAAAAGTTTAATAATGTATTGAATGCCATAGTTTAAAGTTTATTAATATTAGTCCTACATACTAGCTCGGCTGTGAAACTACAATAAAGCAAGCAGTTAATCCAGGGGAGGCTACTGTTCAGAAATTGTACCGTTTAAATATTCATTGGTTATTTCCCTTGGTTTACTGAAATGTTTACAACCCAGTCTGTGTTTTTATAAATGTTCTACCTTAAGTTGGTAATTTATTAGCTGTAGATTTGAATTAATTAGTTTAAATGCATTAAAAATTATAATCCAGATTATATGTAGGCGCACAGCTCAGAACTACTCAAATATCGTACAAGTTAAGGTGTTTCGTACATTTTTCTCTAGAGAATTGCTTGAAAAAAAACAAAAAAACTGGTGTTAAGTTAACATCAACATAGATATATCTGATTTTTTATTTAAAAATCGACGCAGCTGCTGGAACTAATTTGTTAATTACAATTAAAAAAGAAACTATTAAAATTATATTTGAAAAAAAAAAACCCATATCTGACGGTCACATTGTTTTGGTCAGTGGGTAGGTTTAGCCCGAGTACAAATAATTACATAATCACCAATTAGTAATCAGCAAGAACGGAAGAGAAACAAGTTAACATGTTCCAGGAGAACCTAATGTAGTAATGGGGTGTTGCCAATGTGGGTTGTTGTAAGGTTGGGGGGGGGGGGGGAGGTGTCACGAGAATGGGTGGGGAGGGTTAGCCATTTGGGGTGGGGGTCTACCAATTGGGATCCGGATGCCAATAGAGAGGACGAATTCAATTGAACAATGAGGGGGGGGGGGGGGCAGGATGAATACAGTAAGTTGATGGTAAGATGTGTTTTTTGAAGCGACAATCTCCCCTCCCCAACATAGAATCTTCGAATAGGTAGCAGTGTTGTAGAACGAGACCTATAAGTTTAGGACAAAGCTCGTGGAAAAAATAATTAGGCCAAGTATTTTACAATAAACATCCCAACACCCCTATCCAGTGGAAGAGTCCATTATCAGGCGGTGAAATGGAAGACACTCCAAATAGAACCATTGTTTGTATGTGGGGGGTTGCAGTCAAAAGAGTTGAGCCTCAAAGTGAAACGAGGCCAAACGAACAGGTTGACAGGAAGCGTAACTCTAGCACACTTGACGTGCACTTAGTTGTCAGGCGACATCGCTACATACACGTCTTTTGATCCCAGCATGCACGAGTACTCACATCAGATCCCTCACGTCTACACTAAAACTTTAATTCGTTGAGCTTAGGACTCGTTGAAACATGAGCATGTTTCATACCATTGTGCCACAATAATGAAGATATTTTTCAAACGGCGTGTTAGTCAAACCTAACCACATCCTTTTCTAAGTAATACCATAACCCTAATCCAAGTCCTACCATAACCCTAATCCAAATCCAAATCCTACCATAACCCTAATCCTATTTTCTTATCCTAACACTGAACCTAATTTAAAGAGCTACTAAAAAAAATTAACACATCTACTTTTTGAAAAGTCTATTTCGAGAAACGTACTAGGAATATTCCAAAAAAATATGTTGCTTTGAAATGTATACCAATAAAAAAAATAGAAACCTATTTAAACTAAAATTTAAAAAAATGCATTCAACTTAGCATGCTTCTAGTTGATACTATCTAGATATGTAGTTTTCATACAAATGTCTGATAGCACTAATGGACTCTCCCAAAAAGTGGTGTTAGGTCTCAAGTAGATTCATATTAACTAACAATTACAAATGCCAACACGAATCCTATCTATAACAATCACAAGCTAAGCTTACTGACAACCCAACGCCCCTATAATTGGAAGCGTCCATTGTCAGACACTAGTATGAAGATATCTAGAGAAAAAAACAACTGCTGTACCTTTTGACTTGGAATGATGAGTAGCATTGTGCAACATGTTGCTCAACCGAATCTTCAGCTTTGGAGATGACGCCGACCCCAGTCCTTTCGCGATCTCCGAGGGGGAAGTCGGTGACGGTGGCGAAGTCGGTATCGGCGGGGGTATAACACTGGTCTTCGGCATCTTGGTGGGTATCTGTGGTTCGAATCCCAGTTAATCCATACGAACACTAGAGTTGTTTTTTCCCCAGCCAGCTAGAGTACGAGCCGAGCACTGGTCCTACTGATTGTAACACGGTCAAAGAATTAAACAAAGTTAAGCCAGAACAATGTTCAAGTTAACTGGTTTAACGGGTCAAGTAACCGCGACTTGCTGACTTCAACACACTACACACTACACACGCGCTACAAGCTAAGATTCGTTATCACACAGTAAAAAAAAATCTGCGTTACAAGTTACGTGTCTGGAAAAAATTAGGACTTTAAAAAAAAATGTAAACCGCTTCAACAGAACGGGGTTACTGGAGAAATTGAAACCCGACACGGTGTTTTAATAAAATACGCAAGGGGACCAAGGTGTATGGCGTGTTGTAAGATAGGGTGGGGATGGTGGGGGGGGGGGGGGGTAGTCTTGAAAATAACCAGATTGAGGTAAAAGAATTAAAATGGACTTGACCTTTGTTCAAAGTTCACGCCGTGGCCTGTTAAAAATGACATTTATTTCCACCATTACGTGGCGGCCTGCTCAGTTAAACATTGACGTTACGTTTTCTGTGGGGGCGGGCACCACGTTTACAATATACTGGGGGGGGGGGGGGGGGATACAGGCCACGGCTCTGGAAGCTGGGATACTTAAATGCAGCCGCTGAACATGGATATACAATAAATGTATCTGGTAGTACCAACTACGCACCTCTACAGCTTAAGATTGGGAAACTCTACAATTGTAAGATCATGACATCCTACCCAAGATCCAAGCAGCTCTTGGATACCCTACAGCTTCAAGAGCCGGGCAGCTTACAGTTCTAAGATCAGGACACCCGACAGCTTCAAGAGCTAGGCATCCTACAGCTCCAAGAGCCGGGCACCCTACAGCTCCAAGAGCCGGGCACCCTACAGCTCCAAGAGCCGGGCACCCTACAGCTCCAAGAGCCGGGCACCCTACAGCTGTATGAGCCTGGCACCCTACAGCTGTATGAGCCTGGCACCCTACAGCTCCAAGAGCCGGGCACCCTACAGCTCCAAGAGCCGGGCACAGCACCGACAGCTCCAAGAGCCGGGCACAGCACCTGACAGCTCCAGTAGCCGGAAACCGAACAGCTCTGAGCGGGACATCCTACAGCTTCAAGAGCTGGGCTTCTTCTGCTCCAAGAGCCGGAGACCTTACAGCTCCAGAAAAAAAAACTACATCGCTGTAGACACCGTCACAACAGTCGAGGTCAAATCCAGGACACATGCACTGAATGACCTACCACAGATTACACGACCAGTTACTGCACTGATGGACAAACTACAACCACATTCTCCATTCACAAAACACCCCCACACTAGCAAGCTGATTTCACAACACCTTGTTCTCGAGATTTCAGAATCCCCAGCAAGATGAAATAAACTTCGGACTTAATTAAACTTAATTAAACATGCAGCACATTAATGTCCAGATGCAGTAGAACGAACGCTAGAAAAGATTAAGTCCACACACGTCAAAACAAACTGACCAAATGGGAGTTTTCTCCATTACAGAACCCGATCCGTATCACTCTGTCACAAGGTGACCTTACATTGGGATACAGGAGAATGGGACCTAAGACCTAAGACGAGGGGGGAAGAGAGCAATGTTCACCGCGGTAACCAATCTACCAATTCTATAAAATGGCGGCTTCACGCTCTGGTTAACATAGCTGCGTACTGGTTAGGGGTGGGAAATTCTTGATTTCCTGGGGTGGGGGGAAATAATTCGTGTTGGTTTTAATATAGGAAATGTGTACACTACATTGTACACCAATGTAGTACACTATGCGCTGCACTAATGCAGTGACTTATATTTTTGTGTACTAAAGGATAAACGTACACACTGCGATACATTGCGTACACTTAGATCTACTTAACTACACGTTTATGCAGAATGGATAAAAAATATTTAAATGGGTTATGGCGTCCATTAAACTAGGGGAATGAACTCTGTGTGCAAATTTGTGTTACAGAGGAACGGCAATCTAGAGTTAATCTCCGCTGCAGGTGATACGTTAAAGCTTAATATGTAAAACGTTATAAAAATATTTTTACGAATTAAATTAGCACTACATTGTATTTTCAAGATCAAATTTTAAAGTTCAGTGTTTCTTCAAGACTTTTTTCTCCGGGGGTTCACTTGATATTTTCGGGTAGGCGGACTAAATTTTCCTGAGGGGGGGGGGGGGGGGACACTGGGAATGGTAAAAGTATATATTTTCTTTATAAATTTCCATTTTGTTCGGGGGGGGGGGATATCGGTAGACTTTCTCCGCACTGTATATGTGGTTAGATGTGTTCGTTAATTAAGTCTTAACCCTGTCAATTAAGCATAGTTGTAAATCCTTACACACTCATTAACTTTTGAAAGACAACCTTCACCTTTACGGGTAGTTAACTAGAGCCAGAATCAAAGTAGAATCCGTTGGGTGGGGGGGGGGGGGAAGAGGGGGATTCACACCTGTTTTTAACTGTACAATTCGACACCCCAGAATTACAAGAATTCGAATGAAAATCACCTAAACCCACCCCCAACCTCCTCTACCCCCTTTACACATGTAAAGTTGACTCCGACATCAATGTCCCATGGGTGCAGCAAAGTCGTCCCATGGAGGGGCCATGTACAGCAAGTCCCTGGGTTGTCGTCTTGAGTGTGCTTAGACCGTCCTACTGTGTGTGTGTGGGGGGGGGGGGTGTAGCCACCACACACTCGGGAATTTATCTCGGGAATTTGTAATTAGAAGACACAATTGAATAGGGGCGACTATGTCATTACTGGCAAGCTAAGCATCAAAGGCGTGTGGGGTTACACGCTGGGTGCTGTCTAGAGGGTATGAGGTGGGGGGGGGGGGGGAGGGGCAGATTTGGGGAGGGTGTGTGTAAAGGAGGGTTTATTTAATGTTTTAGTAGGAGCTCGCAATCTCACTATATTACAAAATAGAAATGATTGTCCATATCCACAGTACTACTACAAACCTAGAAGGAATTGTCCATACCCATTAAAAACGTGTGTCGATGCTTAAGACATTTCAAAATATAATACAATACAATATTCTGGAAAATCAAAACATCCGTTTGGCTACATCCCTTTCAGAAACAATGCAACTAACAACGGCAAATATAAATTATCAGGCACTAAAACTGGCAGATACAGTAAAGACATGAGCCAACAACTGCATACATAAACTCTACCACAACCACCAACACAGCAGATATAAATACATGCACATAATACAAGCACTAACACTGGATATGCACATAACACCTGCAGCTGTAAACACACTGACTAAACCGCGGACGATACAAGAGACAATCAGGTCATGTGACTAGTTATGCTACAGTAACAGGTCACTATTCAAACAAATCAGGTGCATGTAATTAACCTTGTGACCTCATAGCAACACGGGGCGTGGTTAGTGACCCTAGAGCTAAACAGTGGCCATTGTGATAACAACCAGTAGCACAGACCCAGTACTTTATCTACCACATGTCCACAACACCATCTACTACATGTCCACAACATCATCTACCACAGGTCCACAACATCATCTACCACAGGCCCACATCACCATCTACCACAGGCGTGCAACATCATCTACGACAGGTCCACAACATCATCTACCACAAGTCCACAACACCATCTACCACAGGCGAGCAACATCATCTACCACAGGCGTGCAACATCATCTACCACAGGTCCACAACATCATCTACCACAGGCCCACAACATCATCTACCACAGGTCCACAACATCATCTACCACAGGCCCACAACATCATCTACCACAGGCCCACAACACCATCTACCACAGGCCCACAACACCATCTACCACAGGCCCACAACACCATCTACCACAGGCCCACAACATCATCTACCACAGGCCAACAACATCATCTACCACAGGCCCACAACACCATCTACCACAGGCCCACAACACCATCTACCACAGGCGAGCAACATCATCTACCACAGGCCCACATCATCATCGACCACAGTCTCACAACACCATCTATAACAGGACCACAACACCATCAACATTTTATATAAGCCCACAAAAAACTTCTACTTATAGAAGACTACACCACATGAACCTAAAATATATTCAAAATGTTCTACAACGACATCACCTTTACCATTATATTTTACAGCGGAAGAAAATTTATGTATATTTTCTTATGTAAGTGCATTACAGATTACAGTATACACCCCAATAAACCTCACTAACTAGACATCAACACAACCGTAAATGCCATTGTTATTGACAAGGCCGCAAGGATACAAAAACCGAGGACCTGCATTCTTCATATTGTTTACTTCTACAAGGCTGGGAAAGACAGAGTCACGACTACTCAGCGGTTCTAGTGATGGAACAGCCAGGCCCAGAGGCGTAGCTACCCTTCCCGGCGCCCGGGGGACAAACTTTCAATATGGCGCCCCACTCGGGAGAACATTTTCAATTTGTACCCCCCCCCTCAGACTTTCGATTTGCACCCCCTTCAAACTATTTATAATGCAAAAATGCAGCTATAATGACATTTTAATTTGTTTTTCCAACCCATTTTGGCGCCCCCCAAGGTCGGCGCCCGGGGACATATGTACCCCCCTCGCTACGCCTCTGGCCAGGTCTCTAGTCAGGTTGGGCCACCAGGCGCCAGGTAACTAAAGCTTGAGACTCATGAGATTCGAGCTGCGGTTATAAAAAAATGTTCTGGTTACCATGCCGTCACCACCCCTCCCCTAGTTAATTGTGCCATAAAATTCACAGTTAATGAGGGGGTTGTTTAGCTATCTGTTCAAGAAATAACGCGTGTTTATGGGTGGGGTAAGGGATGGATTAGGGAGTGAAGGGAAGGGGTGGGGTGGATTAGGAGGTGAAAGAGGGGGTTGTTTTTGCTGAAATCGGTCAAGCTTGACGATCAGGATACGTGATACACGACATGGATGAGTGAGTCGAACACGCCATTACACGTTCACAGGGCAGGCTACACACCACCTACACATTTATTGCCGCGAAGAGCTATATCCACATAAACACAAGCCTAAACTTCCACA